CTCGAGGTTAACCACTTCCATCCAAGATGGCCGCCAATGTGATGTTTTATTTTAATCTCCAAATTCAATCCAAAAATGTATTTCCTTGCATAATATAAATGTGTAATTTACATGTAGTAAAATATTGTTAAATATGGGCAGTTCTGTCATAAATATGCATATATTTTTCACCTCGTTCCTTCTTAAATCCCCCAACCCACATCTATTTAATATCTGGCTCCATAATGACTTGTATAGATATTGTCACCCTATCATTAATTATAAGCATTCCAAACATTCGCTCCATGAGCTTTATCATACCTCTTCTTAAAGCTGTGTATGGTTCCTGCTTCCACTACATCGCTTCCCAAACTATTCCACTTCCTGACAACTCTGTGACTGAAGAAATACTTCCTAACATTCCTCTGACTCATCTGAGTTCAAGTTTGAGGAAAGAATTAATTTACTTACACACTGATGAACCCAATTAATACAGGAATTACTGGGGAACCAACATGTCTTAAACGGGAAATGTGAAGGTGGAGAAAAAATGGAGGAGACGCCCTGGTGGCAGGTGTTAATAATAGCAGGATCACCATCTGTATCCTGACTTCCACTAAGCACTTAAGAACATAAGAAAGAACACTGCAGCAGACCTACTGGCCCATGCGGGGCAGGTTCATTACAAAGACCACCTATAACTATCACTTGCACTGATACAACTTGTTGGTTAGGGGCTCTTGATTTAGGGAATTGGATCTGTGCTCCAGTTCCCCGAATTAAGCCTGAATGCCTTCCACATCTCCCCCCCCAGGCGCTGTATAATCCTCCGGGTTTAGCGCTTCCCCCTTGATTATAACAATAATAATAACTGATATAACTTATCTGTTAATATACTGTTACTACTAAAACTCGCATTCCACACCTTTCTCAACATTATATAACAGAAGAGAGTATCCTTTACCAGCACACAAATTTATAAATATGTAATAGTTCCTTACCATTGTAACTTGTTCAGCTGTCAAAACTTTGCTGTCCAGTCCCTGGACCCATTATATACCTGGAGTTTACCTGGAGAGGGTTTCGCGGCTCGGTCTGTGACCAGGCCTCATGGTGGATCAGGGTCTGGTCAACCTGGTTATTGTTAGGTAAGACACATATGCAACAGTTAGGTATCTTTATTTCGAAACGTTTCGCAATCTGTCGGTATTTTATACCATTTTAATGTTCATTCTGTCAGACACTGCAACACAAGGGTATCTTGGTACAGACCATCAACTTCGACCTCTACTAGTGAGAACGGCTGGGTTTGAGAGGGACCTGCCCTCCCAAAGCAACCTACGTCTCACCTCCTGGCACTATATAAAGGCTCCATCCTGTCACTTCAACTTCATATTGTTTCAGACAACGGAACAATGCTCTTCTCCAGACTGAGGGACTGACCACCTCAAAACTTTAAGGGTGATGGACTGATTACATCGTCTTCAAGTATCTTCTGCTTCTATCAACTTTTCTGTACTCGACTGAAGAAGCCTACTGTGTAGGCGAAACGTTTCGAAATAAAGATACCTAACTGTTGCATATGTGTCTTACCTAACAATCTGTCGGTATTTTATACCATTTTAATGTTCAACCTGGTTATTACTGCTGGCCGCATGCAAGCTGACATACGAACCACAGGATGGGTATGGGGTACATAATTAAATTTTCATGGTATAAACGTAAGATTTATCTGGTAACACCGGCAGACTATGCTACAGTCTAATGACCATAATAACATAGGCAAATTATCTGCTTGATTGCTAGAATACACAATTAAGTATAATTACCTTCATGCCTGAGTCAAGAGAGGCAACACGGGAACCAGAGGTGTCATGTCATTACCTGGAGAGGGTTTCGGGGGTCAATGCCCCCACGGCTTGGTCTGAGACCAGGTCTCATGGAGCATGGTCTGATCAACCAGGCTGTTACTGCTGGCCGCACACAAGCTGACATATGAACCACAGCCTGGTTGGTCAGGTACTGACTTTAGGTGCCTGTCCAGTGCCTTCTTAAAGGCACTAGGGGGGGGGGAGAAGAGGAAATAACCTATATCTTATTTAAATACGAGATGCCAAGTATCTCAGTGGCGAGACCTTTTGGATCACAACATAAGTGATTTTCACATTGTTAATTTTTAAGATTATAACAATGATTTCTACTGTATCTTACAGCTAGTCTTTAAGTAATAAGATATTACAAGGGCCCCCAATGGAAATAAGTCACTTAGGCTTTTTCTTTGGGTTATCATTAGCTATTTATGCTGTATAGCCCTTGTGGTTTAGCGCTTCTTTTTTATTATAATAATTATAATAATTAGCTATTTACACTTTACTAGGTATAATAATTGTACTTATGTATACCTGGACCTAAATAAACTTAGTAATCTTGGGTTGGAACTCAGGGCCAGAGAAACGCATGAGTCGGAGTGGGTTTGACTCACGAAATCGTAATGACACGATTGTAAACAAACCATACCCCCCATAGAGTTTTGAGACTCTATGACCGCGGGTTCAATCCCGGCCGGGGGTATGGTTTTTTCGGAGTGGGTTTCCTTATGTCCCAGTTTCCACTTGCCCATCTATCAGTGAAATTAGGTACCTGTGTTATACTAAGTTTATTCAGGTATACACAAATACAATTACATAGGTTATCATACATAGCAGCATATGTGTAGAGAACCCAGGATAACCCAAAAAAGTCAGAGTGACTTATATCCATTGGGGTCCTAACCATTTGGGTACTAACCATTGGGGTCCTAACAGATTGTTATGTGTTAGTTTGGCAATATAATTGCTGCTGAGAGGAACTCATATGTAGCGTCACTGAGGCGAGAACTTTGGGTAGCTTTAAACAGGTTGGACTGTATTAATATTGGTAGAATTACCGACAATATGTTAAAGGACACAAGTGCTACTAATGCGACATGTATTGTTTATTACGGCTTGACAAAGCTCCTGGAGAGCGAAACGTTGCCACAATAAAATGTCAGATTTACCTAACATATAGGTTGGACTGGTATATGGGTGGGTGTGAGTTGGACGAGCTTAGCATTGGCCAGTAGGCCTATTGTAGTGTTCCTTCACTCTTATGACCTCGTGTTCTTATATCCAGGGGAATAAATGTTCAACGAATGTGTTAGAAACTCCAGTCCTGTTGGAGGTATTTAAGTGTAGGGTAAATGACAGCTTTATATTTCAGTGTAACTGATGTTAATTGACAAACAAATTCTATATACTGCTTCGAAATTACATCTCTTTTGTCAGTTCATCAAACATATCAATTGTAATCTTTACAGAGAAATAAAAATTGAATTGAATTTGTCATGACGGAGGTGCTGGAAAGTCGTGATTCATGACCCATTATTGATTTCATACCTTTATGATGGAATGCGCAAATAGCGTCATCATTTAGTCACGTTTTTGTTCGCTGCTTAACGTTAGTTACATGATTAATTACCTTTGTAATTGTGAGTTCATTACCTCTGTAACTTGCTCAGCTATCAAAACTTTGGAGTCCAGTCCCTGGACCCATTATGTACCTCTGTAATCTTTTGACTACCGCCCACAGGATGGGTATGGGGTGCATAATAAACTAAATTAAACTAACTTAACATTCTTCATCTCTAGTTGAGTACAATAGACAGTACCGTGCTGTAAATACAAAGTATGAATGGGGTGGTTGAGGGTGATTAGGAGACGTTCAAATCTGAACGAGTATGAATTGTAGTACAAGACTAGACTGGAAAAATACTTTGCATATCAAGGGGCTTTCTATAAAATATTAATATATGTCAGTCACCCTAATTTTATAATATACTGTACTCCACTTTATAGAAATAAAGCTTGATTAAAGTCTTGATTAAAGTCTACTGGGTCGAGTTCCCTTCAGCTGGGTCACGGGTGCTTAACTACGCCTCGCCCGCCATTGCCTTCTACTTCTTGTGTGACCCATACTGGTTTAGAGCTTGTTTTTTAATATGATAAACAACAACAATAAACAAAATCTTACTTTCTCCACCTCCGGAAACAACTTCACTCTTCTCAAAATTGTATAATCATTCCACTAATTTTGTACAGCATATGCCTGCTATGTTACACTCCCGCTAGCGGATGCTATGTAAGTAACTACTCGTTATAATCATCACTGAACCATCTGACGTCTCTGGTGGGGTTATTAAGGCTCCATGACCTCGTGACCTCCGTGTTTCATCCCTCAACTTTGACCTCTGCAATTGCACCACAGAAGACAGAGGTTTTGATAGGATTGCTTTCACAAGTCCTTCATTACTGAGGATCTTATTTAGTTTATGCTTGAATTATTCATGGCAAGGACAGGTATGGGATCAAACCGTGGAGGCTCTGATTCTCAGAACTATCAACGGGATCGATCCTCCGTTTCCTGTTCGCAAGAGATACACTGCCGAGTAACTATAAACCAACAATTTTAAGATGAAAACTAAGACTTTTCAGTCCACCCTAGACTTTTATCTCGCAGCAGTGGGCCAGGACGGACCGAAACATTGTCCAGATTTTAATTCCATTTTTATGCTAGACTCAGTTTATAGGCTAAGAGCTATTATCCTTCCTCAAGTGATTTTTGAAGTCCAACCCTAAGGTTTGCCTTCCAGAATGCCAACCACAACAACCTAGTAGCACCCATGTACCTATTTACAGCTAGCTGAACAGGGGAAGTAGATGAGTGAAGATGAAAATGGTATACAGGGATGGGGGGAGTATGTAAAGCGACCTGTCCGTAAATTTTCCACCATCTGGGAGGCGAACTAATGCGACATTTTGTAGTGGCAACGTTTCTCTCTCCAGGAGCTTTTGTCAAGCCAGTATGTTAGGCTTGACACAGCTCCTGGAGAGCGAAACGTGCCACAATAAAATGTCACATTAGTTGCACTGGTGTCAGTAGTTCTGCCATCATTACTACAACATATATTAATCAATTTTGACTGTGTGTGTGTGCATTTACAGGATGGAAGTGGGAGTATTAGTAATATTGGTGATAGCAACCCTGACGAAGGCGCAGCAGATCAACAGGGCGCCACAGTTCCTACCTGCAGGAGACATGGACAGATTCTCCCTCAGGTAATCTTCCTTATCTCAGTTCCTTAAAAAAAAAAAGACATTAACATAAATTTTTGATAGTGTTTCTCTTGTTTCCCCCCATTGTTAGTGCAGCTAATTTAAGTAATTTGGGCATCGGAATAGAGAATAAGTCATATACAAATACTTATTTTTTTATGTAGTATGAATATAATGTGGTTTAAATGTAATGAAATAAACACAAAAGAAAGTCAATAATTGGGACAATTTATAATTAACATAATCTGGATTAGGCTTAGGTTCTTATTGGATTATTATTACGACTTAGAAAAGTGAAAAAAAAGCCTGAAGTCAGATCAGGATATCTAATATAAATAAATCTTAACCCAGGACGAACCGAAAAGTTTCTCCCAGCAACGTTTCGGTTCGACCAGGACCATTGACCAGTTTTTTCTCCTATGTGGGGGTTATTTATGTATTATTCTAGTCACGGTATTGTGCCTTTTTTGTTCTTTTCCATTTCCAACATATGGGTTACTTACGAACCATCAACATTTACACTGACGTACACATGACAGAAAACATCCATAAACACAGACTTGGGTCCAGTTTAATGGATCCACAGCACATGGTTGGCCTGTGATACTCCAGTACTGAAACTGTGTATTGTGCCAAAACTAAAACATTCACATTGCTAAACTTACAAACTAGTATTTAGTCACTTAGCCATAATACCAACTTACCTCATTATTTGTAATATTTTAAATTTAAGAATTAATCTAAGTCTGCCCGAAATGCCTAGCCATGCTAGGTGTTCTAGTGGTACACTCTGTAATGCCTAGCCATGCTAGGTGTTCTAGTGGTACACTCTGTAATGCCTAGCCATGCTAGGTGTTCTAGTGATACACTCTAATGCCTAGCCATGCTAGGTGTTCTAGTGGTACACTCTGTAATGCCTAGCCATGCTAGGTGTTCAAGTGGTACACTCTGTAATGCCTAGCCATGCTAGGTGTTCTAGTGGTACACTCTGTAATCCTAGCCATGCTAGGTGTTCTAGTGGTACACTCTGTAATGCCTAGCCATGCTAGGTGTTCTAGTGGTACACTCTGTAATGCCTAGCCATGCTAGGTGTTCTAGTGGTACACTCTGTAATGCCTAGCCATGCTAGGTGTTCTAGTGGTATGTAATGCCTAGCCATGCTAGGTGTTCTAGTGGTACACTCTGTAATGCCTAGCCATGCTAGGTGTTCTAGTGGTACACTCTGTAATGCCTAGCCATGCTAGGTGTTCTAGTGGTACACTCTGTAATGCCTAGCCATGCTAGGTGTTCTAGTGGTACACTCTGTAATGCCTAGCCATGCTAGGTGTTCTAGTGGTACACTCTGTAATGCCTAGCCATGCTAGGTGTTCTAGTGGTACACTCTGTAATGCCTAGCCATGCTAGGTGTTCTAGTGGTACACTCTGTAATGCCTAGCCATGCTAGGTGTTCTAGTGGTACACTCTGTAATGCCTAGCCATGCTAGGTGTTCTAGTGGTACACTCTGTAATGCCTAGCCATGCTAGGTGTTCTAGTGGTACACTCTGTAATGCCTAGCCATGCTAGGTGTTCTAGTGGTACACTCTGTAATGCCTAGCCATGCTAGGTGTTCTAGTGGTACACTCTGTAATGCCTAGCCATGCTAGGTGTTCTAGTGGTACACTCTGTAATGCCTAGCCATGCTAGGTGTTCTAGTGGTACACTCTGTAATGCCTAGCCATGCTAGGTGTTCTAGTGGTACACTCTGTAATGCCTAGCCATGCTAGGTGTTCTAGTGGTACACTCTGTAATACCTAGCCATGCTAGGTGTTCTAGTGGTACACTGTAATGCCTAGCCATGCTAGGTGTTCTAGTGGTACACTCTGTAATGCCTAGCCATGCTAGGTGTTCTAGTGGTACACTGTAATGCCTAGCCATGCTAGGTGTTCTAGTGGTACACTGTAATGCCTAGCCATGCTAGGTGTTCTAGTGGTACACTCTGTAATGCCTAGCCATGCTAGGTGTTCTAGTGGTACACTCTGTAATGCCTAGCCATGCTAGGTGTTCTAGTGGTACACTCTGTAATGCCTAGCCATGCTAGGTGTTCTAGTGGTACACTCTGTAATACCTAGCCATGCTAGGTTGTTTAGTGGTTTCACTGTAATGCCTAGCCATGCTGGTGTTCTAGTGGTACACTCTGTAATGCCTAGCCATGCTAGGTGTTCTAGTGGTACACTGTAATGCCTAGCCATGCTAGGTGTTGTGGTACACTGTAATGCCTAGCATGCTAGGTGTTCTAGTGGTACACTCTGTAATGCCTAGCCATGCTAGGTGTTCTAGTGGTACACTCTGTAATGCCTAGCCATGCTAGGTGTTCTAAGTGGTCATCTGTAATGCCTAGCCATGCTAGGTGTTCTAGTGGTACACTCTGAATGCCTAGCCATGCTAGGTGTTCTAGTGGACACTCTGTAATACCTAGCCATGCTAGGTGTTCTAGTGGTACACTCTGTAATGCCTAGCCATGCTAGGTGTTCTAGTGGTACACTCTGTAATACCTAGCCATGCTAGGTGTTCTAGTGGTACACTCTGTAATCATTATTTTACTACATGTAAACCACACAATAACCAAATTCTGTAAACTCAGCAATGTAATCCTTATAGAGAATAAACTTTGAATTTGAATTTGAATTTGAATTTGAATGGTCTCTTGGAGTAAAATTTAATTTGACATGTGGCGGTGATACTGGATTCGCGTCACCATTAATAGTGGTTTTTCATTATATATCTCACGTTGTGAAGGTAACAAGATTTATATCCGAAAACAGAAGTGTTGTAAACTCTGATAAGTGGTACAAGAGAACCTATTTGGAACACTAGTCACTAGTTAGTTTAATATCTCATTATGCACCCCCATACCCATCCTATGGGAGGTTGTCAAAATTCGCCGGTAGAAATAAATATACATGGAAACGAGGAAAAAAAGACGATATGTAAAGTAAAAGGACACAAGTGCAACTAATGTGACATTTTATTGTGGTAACGTTTCGCTCCTGGAGAGCGAAACGTTGCCACAATAAAATGTCACATTAGTTGCACTTGTGTCCTTTTACTTTACATATTGTCGGTAATTCTACCAACTTTATTACAAAAAAAGACGAGAAGAGTCTTTATATTTCTGCCATATACTGAAGCCGTCTTCAGCAGAATGTTCTATAGGGCCTCAGTGTGATGGTACTAATAACCCAGGTAGTTAAAGAACCTTAAACAGAATTATTATTATTAAAGAAGAAAAAGACACAATACCTAAACGTCATCATAAAGTTTCTATACGTGGAGTATACCTGGAGGGGATTTTGGGGGTCAGCGCCCCCGCGGCCCGGCCTGTGACCAGGCCTCATGGTGGATCAGTTTTGTGTATTATTCCCCTCAGGGAAGGTTCCTTGATGTTGGTGAGGGGCTCTTGATTTAGGGAATTGGATCTGTGCTCCAGTTCCCGGAATTAAGCCTGAATGCCTTCCACATCCCCCCCAGGTGCTGTATAATCCTACAGGTGTTAGCGCTTCCCCTTGATTATAATAATAATAATAATTGTGTATTATAATAATAATAATATGGGCCAACAGGCCTGCTGCAGTGTTCCTCCTTTCTTATGTTCATAATTGTCTCTGCATGAGTTCAATTATAGCATTAATTTATAAGTTAATTTATACACTGGTTCAGGGAGGACACACCAGTGGGGTCATCAGTGTACAGGCTACGAGGTCGTGACCCTGAGGGCACCCAGGTCTCCTTCACTGTCTCCGGCGACTACCTCAGCGTTGACAGGAACTCTGGTGTGGTCACCCTCGTGCAGCTGCTCGACCGTGAGGTCACACCCATGATCGAGGTCATCATCACTATCACAGGTGGGAAGACCTCTCTAAACTACCCACACACCTGCTTACACAACCCATATACCACCCATAACCATCAGCTTATATATATAATAATATCTTTATTTACTACAAGTACATGTACAAGGTATACAGACCATAGCTGACATCAATGACATATTACTATATAGAAAGTTGCTTGTTATGCTGAGCATTTCCCACAAATTCGGTCAGTTTTTGTCCCCAGGATGCGACCCACACCAGTCCACTAACACCCAGGATGCGACCCACACCAGTCCACTAACACCCAGGTACCTATTTTACTGATGGGTGAACATAGACAACAGGTGTAAGGAAACACGTCCAATGTTTCCATCCCCTCGCCGGGAATCGAACCCAGACCCTCACCGTGTGAAGCGAGAGGTTTTGCCACCAGGCCATAGTGCACCACACAGACATCCTCACTAGCTTACCAAAAACCATCAGCCTACACTACCCATAATTAACCAGCAACCACCAGTATAGGTGTCCTGTAGATCGATTGCTAGCGCACTCAGCTAACACACTGAAGTCCGTGGTTCGATCTCTGGTACAGGTGGAAACATTAAAAAGTTTCCTTAAGACACCCGCTATCCATGTTCACCTAACGGTAAAATAGGTACCTGAGTTAGTGGAGTGGTGTAGGTTGCATCCTGGGGACAAAATTGATCTAAATTAGACACATGTACAACTCTTGGGTATCTTTATTGAGGAAACGTTTTGCCACACAGTGGCTTCATCAGTCCATACAAAGGAGAATCTAGAAGAACAGGAGGAGAATGAGGTAATCAGTCCCTCAGCCTTGAGTCGATGTGGTCAGTCCATCAATCTTGATGGACTGACCCTTGGGCATGACCTACTTCCACACTGTACGAATGTGACACCACCTATGACTGCTACACCTCTCCTGCCTACGGTTTATAAGCTCCTTCTCCGCACTTATGCCGTATTCTATTCAAGATTGATGGACTGACCACATCAACTCAAGGCTGAGGGACTGATTACCTCATTCTCCTCCTGTTCTTTCAAGATTCTCCTTTGTATGGACTGATGAAGCCACTGTGTGGCAAAACGTTTCCTCAATAAAGATACCCAAGAGTTGTACATGTGTCTAATTTATCAACATGTCGGTTTTCTGAACCATTCATCTACAAAATTGATCTAATTGACCCGAAATGTGCTGCATAACAAGGGACTTTCTGTATGGTATGTCATTGATGTTAACTAGGTCTGTATACCTTGTACATGTACTTGTAGTAATAAAGATAATTTTTATTATATTACTATTATACACCCACAGAACCTGTGGGTGTATAATAATATAATATATTATTACCACACCCACAGGTTCTGTGGGTGTGGTAGTGACCTGACATAGTTAAACAATGCCATAATCTATCTTCCCTCTCCAGATAAGAGTTTTCAGGGTTTATATATATGTCTCAGTGGAGGTATACCGAGTTTACTTTAATCTCAGTCTTACGGATTAAAGTATCTTGACTAATGGTGTACAGGTAACAGGCAGATTGAATGACCAGTACTTTAAATACCCAATAAACCAATGCTATGCATGCTGTTGTTATTATATCTTCGCTGCAAAATTAAGTGAACCAGTTAAGTTTATTTAGGCACAGGGATACATAAGTATAATCATTATACGAAGTGTAAATTAACAAAGTGACTTATTTCCACTGGGGTCCTTGGTTTCCACTGGGGTCCTTGGTTTCCACTGAGGTCCTTGGTTTCCAATGGGGTCCTTGGTTTCCACTGGGGTCCTTGGTTTCCAATGGGGTCCTTGGTTTCCACTGGGGTCCTTGGTTTCCACTGGGGTCCTTGGTTTCCACTGAGGTCCTTGGTTTCCAATGGGGTCCTTGGTTTCCACTGGGGTCCTTGGTTTCCACTGGAGTCCTTAGTTTCCACTGGGATCCTTGGTTTCCACTGGGGTCCTTGGTTTCCATTGGTAACCTTGGTTTCCACTGGTCCTTGATTGCCATTAGGGTCCTTGATTATTGTTGACATTATATCAGATGAGCGTATGTTTGGGGACGAGCCGAACACAGTGCCACTGCGTCGGGAGATCCCCATCTTGGACGTGAACGACAACCGACCAGTGTTTCACGGGGAGCCATACACCTTCATGGTACTGGAGTCTGCGTCACCCGGTGCCACACTCTTCTCCAGCATGAATGTTACTGATGCTGACGGTGGCACCAACGCTGAGATTAAGCTACACTGTGTCGAAGAGGAGGTGCGGCTGCTTCTCTACATTTACCCTCTTTATTTGATTTTTCAACAGTATTTAAACCTTTTCTATGAGGTCTTTAGGGGTCATATTTGGAAAAAAGGGAGTGAAGGATCTCAACTGTTATAAAGCAAATATAAATAAGACCTATTTGAAGTAAGACCCTTAAGATATCTTAAAGAGCAGTCTATCACTACTGAGATCCTTGTGCCAGGGATCGAACCCCAGACACTTGGTTTGTGAGCTGAGCAAGCTACCAACCAAGCCACGGAAGACTTAATACATTCTACCTCTCGCAAAAATAATTTTGCTCCTAATATCATTCCCCCCAAAAAGCAAATAATTCCCTTCCCCTCCCCCTCATAAAAGAAATAAATGATTATATTTGCCAGGCAGCTATTAGCCAAATTTAAAGGTATGTAAAACTGAAATAAAACCTTGTGTTGCAGTCTCCACGGGCATGTGTCAAGTTCGAGGTGCGAGAAGCCAGGGTAGCTGAGGGGCAGTATGTGGGCATCATCTCACTCAAGGAACAACTTGACTATGAGATGGAGAGGCAGTATACCATGGTGGTAAGTAAGGAAGGCAGGAAGTAAGGAAGGTAGGAAGTAAGGAAGGTTGGAAGTAAGGGAGGTAGGAAGTAAGTAAGGCAGGAAGTAAGTAAGGCAGGAAGTAAGGAAGGCAGGAAGTAAGGAAGGTAGGAAGTAAGGCAGGCAGGAAGTAAGGGAAGCAGGAAGTAAGGTAGGAAGTCAGTAAGGCAGGAAGTAAGGAAGGTAGGAAGTAAGGAAGGCAGGAAGTAAGGAAGGCAGGAAATAAGTAAGGCAGGATGTAAGTAAGGCAGGAAGTAAGGAAGGCAGGAAGTAAGGAAGGCAGGAAGTAAGGAAGGTAGGAAGTAAGGCAGGCAGGAAGTAATGCAGGAAGTAAGGAAGGCAGGAAGTAAGTAAGGCAGGAAGTAAGTAAGGCAGGAAGTAAGTAAGGTAGGAAGTAAGGAAGGTAGGAAGTAAGGCAAGAAGTAAGGAAGGCAGGAAGTAAGGAAGTAGGAAGTAAGTAAGGCAAGAAGTAAGGAAGGCAGGAAGTAAGTAAGGCAAGAAGTAAGGAAGGCAGGAAGTAAGGAAGGTTAGGAAGTAAGGCAGGAAGGAAGTAAGGCAGGGAGTAAGGAAGGCAGAAAGTAAAGAAGACAGAAAGTAAGGCAGGAAGTAAGGAAGGAAAGAAGTTTTTTGTGATACCCCCCCTACCAAAAAAAAAAAAAATGAGATTTATTTTCATTGGGGGTCCTTGTAATATTTATTAGATATAGTAAAAATTAGTCATGATTATTAACACCATTATCACCTGACATACAAATTTGTATTTCTTTATGTGGTACAAAATAATACAGTTTACATGTAATAAAACTAATCCTAATGTTTCAAGAATTAAGATTTAGCTAAGATGTACTTTACTAGGCTGTCCTAGGTTAAATCTACGTAAATCGCAGCATGCTAATGGCTTTCTTCTGTGCTTAGCAATATTTTATTACATATAAAGTACATTTTGTATACTGCAGAAGAGAAATAAAATTGTATTATTTAAAAAGAAAAGCTTTCAGTTTTCTTTTTAGGTCACCCTGTCTCAGTGGGATACAGCCTATGTGCTAAAAAATGTAGTATTGTAATGCAGTTTGTAACATTTGTGCCCTCAAGATCACTTGAGAAAAAGTGTTGTGATGAAAATGGTTTTGCAAACCCACATGTTAAAGAATGAGACAGTTGTGTGACATTTTGAATCTTTATTGAGGAAACGTTTTGCCTGCCGGTGGCTTCTTGAGTCTACTCTGAATACTGGAAATAACAGAGGAAGATGAGGTAGGGTGCATAATAAAAACATTAAACTAACTGCTGTTCTATTATCTTGCTTTCCACTGTTGCAGATTCGGGCATCTGATGGAGGACCTGAGAAGCGCCTCACCACCACTACAACAGTGGTGATTGAAGTGAAGGATGTGCAGGACCAACCTCCCATCTTCCTCAATGCCCCCTTCAGCACCACTGTCAGAGAGGCCAGTCCCCCAGTGAGTACACTGCACCACACTGCCTCCTCTCAGTAATGGCCCTAATGCTGTAATAATGCATCGAGAGCAGAAACTTTAAAGCATCAATGTTTCTATTGTTTGTTATATTTTTGTTGGAAAATGTATCTGTAAATAAGCAAGGACATTGATGCAGCAACAGATGTTTCACAACCATTGATAGATTTTAAACATACAGTCAAGAAATATTGTACGCCATGCAGTGCAGAAAAATAAGACAGTTTGTAGCCTTAAAAAGTATACTGAATATTAACTTAGAAAACTGATAATTAAAGTTAATGATTTATGAGTAATATGCTTATGATTAACTTATGCTATCAACCATCTTCTTAAGGGAACATCAGTGCTGGAAATTCTTGCCCGTGACGGAGACCTCGGGGAGCCTCGTCCCATCACCCTCTCCCTACAGGGGGACAATGCTGGCTATTTTGTTCTCTCTAGAGTGCAGACTCTTGAGGATGGCTCCCTCACTGCCACCCTCTCCACTTCACCTGTTACCCTCGACAGAGAGGATCCCCTCATTCTCAATAATGGAGGCCTCTATACATTTAGTGTTCAGGTATGACCAGTGTTTTTTTGATATCTTACTAATTGTATTAGCAGTGAAATAATGGTTACAATTTAACCCTGTAGCATAAATAAGATGAAAATGAATAATTTAGATTTTCTAATTATAAAAATTCTTTGTTTTTATTCTTGATAGAACCAAAATGCTCTTCATAATCATGGGCTTTCATCATGCTCTCTAGTATCATCCATTTCTGTATAAGGCTCTGGTGGCCTGGTGCCTAATGTTCTTGCTTCACACGGTGAGGGCCTGGGTTCGATTCCCAGCCAGAGTAGAAACATTGGGCGTGTATCTTTCCACCTGTTGTCTATGTTCCCCATCAGTAAATTGGGTACCTGGGTGTTAGGCGACTGGTGTGGGTCGCATCCTGGGACACTGACCTAATTTGCCGAAATGCTGAGCATAACAAGGGATTTCTATATAGTAGTATGTCACTGATGTCAGCTAGGTCTGTATACCTTGTACATGTACAGTGGACCCCCGCTTAACGATCACCTCTCAATGCGGCCAATTATGTAAGTGTATTTATGTAAGTGCGTTTGTACGTGTATGTTTGGGGGTCTGAAATGGACTAATCTACTTCACAATATTCCTTATGGGAACAAATTCGGTCAGTACTGGCACCTGAACATACTTCTGGAATGAAAAAATATCGTTAACCTGGGGTCCACTGTACTTGTAGTAAATAAAGATATTATTATTATTATTATTATAAACATCGTACTATTTTTTTTTTCAACAAGTCGGCCGTCTCCCACTGAGGCAGGGTGACCCAAAAAGAAAGAAAATCCCCAAAAAGAAAATACTTTCATCATCATTCAACACTTTCACCTCACTCACACATAATCACTGTTTTTGCAGAGGTGCTCAGAACACAACAGTTTAGAAGCATATATGTATAAAGATACACAACATATCCCTCCAAACTGCTAATATCCCAAAACCCTTCCTTTAGAGTGCAGGCATTGTACTTCCCATTTCCAGGACTCAAGTTTGGCTATATTATGATAGAATAAACTTGTATTTGTATTTAACTTTACATTGTTAACTCAAAAGGAGTTTTTGAGAGGTATTGAAGGGTGGTATTTAAGTAAATTTATTTAGGCACAGGCATACAAAAGTGCAGTTATCATATGGTGTAAATTACCTAGGATAACCCCGAAAAAGTCACACATAAGTGTAATTTCAACTATTAAAGGACCCCGGTAGAAGTCATTCTTGAGTTTTTTGGGTTATCTTAGGTTCTCTACACATATGCTGCTATGTATGATAATATATATAACTGTATTTATGTATACCTGAATAAACTTACTTATTTAGGCACAGGAGAAGGGAGGAGAGGCTGCAGTATCACAGGTGACGGTGGTAGTGACGGATGTTGATGATCAGCGTCCTGTCTTCAGCCAAGATGAGATCTCCATCAGTGTTCCAGAGGATATTGGTTAGTACAACCTCGTGTAATATGTAGTTAGCTTAATATCTTTATTATGCAACCCATACCTATCCTGTGGGCAGTAGTGAAAAGATTACAGAGGCACATAATGAAAATGAAAAAGCTTATTTCCTTCCAAAGCTTAGAATGTGTGGTTTACATATTATAATGTATTAATTACAAAGAAGGCCACTAGCATGCCTAGGCATTTCAGGGAGACTAATCCTACTTCTTACTCTGTATTGACACATGTTATGGAGCAGTACATTTTAATATATATTATTGCATACTGACATAAAAGTTAGGTAACTGAAGTGATTAACATTAATTAGGTTTATAATAGTGAGGTAGTACAAAACATATAACAGTATTACAATTAGTAAATTTAGTACTGGGAATGGTTTTTTCTTTGCATGATACACTGTTTCTATAGAAGCTCCTATATTGGGAGAGTATTTCAGGCAAACTTTGGACTAACTTAAGATTTATTAGACAATAACTATATGTACAGTATTAGGTATGTTTACAGTTGTTTGAGTGAGTGTAAGTGTAAGATAGGAGGAATTACAGGTAACGAAAGTAAGTATATTGTTTTGCATGTGTTCATGATACAAAAAGACAATAGATGGTTTTCACATAGCTGATGATGGGGTGTGTTAGGGAGACAAGATGTTTCTTAATGGTAGTTTTGAAAATGGTGGTTGAGTCTGCAGTTTTAGAGTTTTCAGGCGGGAGTTCCAGATTTTAGGCCCTTTTATGTAGTACTTTGAATTTTTGTATAGATTTAGCTGAACACAAGGAATGTCATAGAGATTTTTGTGTCTGGTATTGTGTCTATGGGTCCTGTTACAACTGTCAAGAAAGTGTTTCAGTTCAGGGTTAATATTAGAATTTATGGTTCTGTAAATGTAGGTTGCACAGTAGTAGGTGTGAATGTTCTGTACTGTGAGTAAGTTTAGGTCTTTGAAGAGTGGGGGGGGAGTGTTGCCTAGGATTGGATTACGTGCTAATTCTTACTGCAGCTTTTTGTTGGGCTATTATTGGCTTTAGGTAGGTTGCTGCTGTTGATTCCCAGGCACAGATAGCATAGGTGAGGTAGGGATAGATGTCCAAATAGTATAGTGTGGGTAGGGCTGATTGTGGTACATAGTAACGTATTTTGAGAGGATCCCAACTGTTTTGGATACGTTCTTTTGTTGTGTGTTGGTTATGGGTGTTGAATTTCAGGTTGCTGTCAAGGTGCAGACCCAGGAATTTGCCCTCATTATGGTTAGCAATAAGAGTGTTGTCAATCATATTGTTCAGCTGGGCATCACCTGTTCTACTCGCAAACATAATGTAGGTTTTGTCAGTATTAAGTGTAAGTTTACTGGCAGTCATCCAGGTCGATATTTTTACTAGCTTTTTGTTAACAGTAGTGTTGAGTGAGGCAAGATTAGAGTGGGAGATGACATAAGTCGTGTCATCAGCAAAGAGAATGGGTTTAAGTTGTTGTGATACATTAGGAAGATCATTGATGTATAGGAGGAAGAGCAGGGGACCAAGGACACTTCCCTCTGGTACTCCGATATCCAGTGGTCTTGCTGATGAGGTTGTGTCCTTTATACATGTATTGATGTCTGTTAGTAAGATAGGATTTGAAATATGTAAATGCGTGGCCTCTTATACCATAATGGTCAAGTTTATGGAGTAGGATGCTGTGGTCTACTGTATCAAAAGCTTTCCTTAGGTCAATAGAGTCCTAATGGATATTCATTTTATTCAAGTACTGTGTAAAGCAGGTGTAGCATTTTTAGAATTGCATTGTTTGTGCTTTTGCTTTTCCTGAAGCCAAATTGGCAGGGGTTGAGGATACTTTGTGCTGTTATAAAGGAGTATAATCTTTTGTGCACGAGTTTCTCAAAGGTTTTGGATAGCAATGGTAAGTCTGATATTGGCCTGTATCTGTTTACATCTATGGGGTCACCTCCTTTGTGTATTGGTGTAACCCTTGCTATCTTGAGTAGTGTCAGGAAAGTGCTGGTACATAATGGGTATATAATGGGTCCAGGGACTGTACTTCAACATTACAGAGGTACATAATGCATCCAAGGACTGTACCTCAACATTACAGAGGTATATAATGCATCCAGGGACTGGGCCACAAAGTTTTGATAGCTGAACGAGTTAGTTTTAATATGTAAGTGGTGACACTTTTAAATGTAAGATTAACAATATGTATTACCACAGGAGAATAAGTTATACAGGGATGTCCCAGAGTTCAGGTTTTAATGAAGACAATGTTGTGTTAACATGCAGACCATTCTGTGATACAGTAAAATGTATAGTTATGACAGTTCTTATAGAAGAATCAGAGTAACATATTGTGTTAGATTAAGCGTTATATATAATGTACAGTTGATTGTGTCTTGCTTAGCGGATATGTGATTGTGTCTGCATTGAATAACCTGCACAGGTTAAGCCTACAAATAAGGTAAAATAATTATATTGTGTCTCTCAGCTGATGGGACACCACTGCCAGGACTCAACCTGGTGGTTACAGATGGAGATGTTGGAGAGAATGCTCGATTCTCCTTGGCCTTGGAGGACATCTCTGGTTCCCAGGGCGTCTTCTCCATCTTTCCCGAGACGGCTGTGGGTAGGACACCTGTCATCATCAAAGTTGCTGACTCGTCAAAGCTTGACTTTGAAAATCCTCATGCCTCCAATTTCGTCTTTAAAGGTAGAGATGTTTCCCAATTGTTTTCCTGTTAAGAAAACTTGTACTTTTGAGTCTAATGAATTTCTACAGGCCATATTTTTTTTTGTAGCACTGACCACCACCCAACAGGATGGTAGTCAGTGTTAATTAAGAATGCTAAAACTGCTCATAGGAAAGATAGGACATTAATTTAAAGATAGGACATTAATTTAAAAATAGGACATTAATTTCAAGATAGGACATTAATTCAGAGATAGGCCATTATGAAATATCAGCCTTACTGTTGCATCTATTTTGTTAGAATACTGTTACATGATGAAGTAGTGAATTATTTTTCCTTTGTGTTAGTGGTTGCCAGTGAGCGTGGAGTCCCTGTGTCAGAAGCTGTCATCAACATCACCGTCACAGATACCAACGACAATTCTCCTGTCTTTCTCCACCCCTCCTACAGGTAGGTGCCCTGCTTTCTGTATGTAACTGACTCCTACTACAGACAGTTATTCCTGCTTCTACCATCTAAATCACTTCTGTACTCATGTTAATTTTTGTTAAATTTTTTTTTTACCTTCAGTAACTCTTGTTAGCAGCAACTTGATATGACAAAATGTATTCACCATACAGCTTGTACCTTCGAGTTATTTTCTGGAAAAAGGTGCTCTTACTGCCACTTTGCAGCTAGAATACACAAATAACCTGCATGTGGGAGAGAAGAGCGTATGACAACATTTCAGTCTGACTTGGACTGTTATTTGTGTATTGTTCCAGTCATGATATTGTGCATTTTTGTTCTTCAGTCAGAATTTTCAGGTGCTCCATCGTCACGCTTTTTTTTTCAACACACTGGTCGTCTCCCACCGAGGCATGGTGACCCGAAAAAGAAACACTTTCACCATCATTCACAGTATTACTGTATTGCCAGAGGCACACAGATATGACAGTTTAGATTTCCCTCCAAACAGCAAATATCTCAAATCCTTCCTTTAGAGTGCAGGCACTGTACTTCCCACTCAAGTTTGGCTAACCAGTTTCCCTGAATCCCACATAAAACATGTTTCTTACTTTTTACTGATATGAAACTTGATTAGTGTATGAAATATTTGATCAGTACAGCCTCTCCTCACTTAGCGATGTACAGTATACAGTACACTACTGTATAAACATTTAAAAATATACTAAAAATGTTACAAATGGTGCAAAGGCGACATTAAATCAAAATCAAAGATGGTTGACACAAACCCACTACCATTGTAGAATGCTCCTTGCTTAACGACGAATTTGTTTACCAATGTGGTCTTTGGAACAGAAATGCGTCACTAAATGAGGAGAGGCTGTACTATAGTTTTATAAACTACATACATTGTATCATAATACAACACTTAGTTTTTTAGCAAAAGTACCAGTAGTTTTATATTTTAATAAATAATTTCTTAACATTACATTTATAATAATGATGTTTTATTTCTTTGAGCCAAACAAGTAGTGTAGATACATGGGTAGGTGCATGAGTATAATAGTTTTTAACACATCGGCTGTTTCCCACTGAAGCAGAAAAGAAAGTGACTAATTATAGAGTGTATTTTGGACAAGTAATCATGAAGCTTACATGCTACTAAAGAACTAGACATAACATTTAATGTAAGACTTGTGTAGTTAGCAAGAAAGGTAAATAATGACAAATGGTCCATACACAAATAGCCTGCACATAGGAGAGAGGAGCTTACGATGGCGTTTCGGTCCGACTTGGACTACTTACAAAATCACACTAACAGGAAGGAGAGAAGGACCCAGTATACATAGGCCAGCTGGCAGGGACGGGCCAAGAGAGGTGGGAGGAGTAGTGGTCAGTTACAAAATAATTACGTATTCCTTAAACTGGTTCAGTGTTATTCAGTTTTATGGTGTGACTGAATAGAAATGAAGATACAGCAAGTTACATAAATTACAATACAAATCCAATGGTACAATATTTGTTACCAATTTTATGTGGGAGTTGAAGGAAGGTTGGAAGATAAGACACAGGTACACAGGTACAATTTTCATACATAGTGCAAATTCCCTAGGATAGCCCAAAAAAGTCAGACAGAGTGACTTGTTTCTATTGGGAAGGGGACAATATACATATCTCTTATGATATTTGTGCACTGAGGGGAAACGCTGTGTATATAAGTGGAGAGGTAAATACAGTATGTATATCCCAGTTTAAATACACCTGAATTTACTTTAATTATGTATTTAGGATTAAAATGAAAGGTGGTGAAAGGGTGGCTTGCAATCTTAATAACCCTCAATGTTGATAGGCTTTAAACCAACTAAAACATGCATAGGGTATATGTATTACATTGAGAAGTTTATACTATTTATGTACTGTATAGAGTTATACACAAACAGTTTATTTTAATAACCATTATAGGGATCAACGTATTTTTGAATTGAAACCTTAATGCCTCACAGGCAGTCACCAGCCTTTTACATTAATAACTAATCTAACATCTTAAATTCTTCAATGCACCTGATGCTAGTGGATTTTTTTTGTGCCTGACAATAATTTATTATATGTAAACTACATTATATGTTTACTGCATAAAATAAAAATTTTGAATTTGAATATGTATAGTATTTATGTACAACAGCTTGTGACATCCCTGACAGGTTCAATGTGAGTGAGGGTGCGGAACGCGGGGACCTCATTACAAAACTCCTTGCCAATGACTCCGACTCAGGCATCTTCAGAAAGCTTAGGTAAGAGTTCTGCCCAAATACTGATGCCCTGTGACCTGTGTTAGGATGTATTGGCCTGTCTAAAACTGCTGGAAGTCTAGTGTCATTACATAGTTATTAAACGTATAATATGTTACAGTACAGGAGGGCCCTGCTTATACAGCAGGTTAGATTCTGGGCTACTGTAGGGCCCTACTTATACAGCAGGTTAGGTTTCGGGCTACTGTAGGGCCCTGCTTATACAGCAGATTAGGTTTTGGGCTACTGTAGGGCCCTACTTATACAGCAGGTTAGGTTCTGGGCTACTGTAGGGCCCTACTTATACAGCAGGTTAGATTCTAGGCTACTGTAGGGCCCTACTTATACAGCAGGTTAGGTTCCGGGCTACTGTAGGGCCCTACTTATACAGCAGGTTAGGTTCTGGGCTGCTGTAGGGCCCTACTTATACAGCAGGTTAGATTCTGGGCTACTGTAGGGCCCTACTTATACAGCAGGTTAGGTTCTTGGCTACTGTGGGGCCCTACTTATATAGCAGGTTAGGTTCCAGGCTACTGTAGGGCCCTACTTATACAGCAGGTTAGGTTCCGGGCTACTGTAGACCCCTACTTATACAGCAGGTTAGGTTCTGGGCTACTGTAGGGCCCTACTTATACAGCAGGTTAGGTTCTGGGCTACTGTAGGACCCTACTTATACAGCAGGTTAGGTTCCGGGCTACTGTAGGGCCCTACTTTTACAGCAGGTTAGGTTCTGGGCTACTGTAGGGCCCTACTTATATAGGAGATTAGGTTCTGGGCTACTGTAGGGCCCTACTTATACAGCAGGTTAGGTTCTGGGCTACTGTAGGGCCCTACTTATACAGCAGGTTAGGTTCCGGGCTACTGTAGGGCCCTACTTATACAGCAGGTTAGGTTCCGGGCTACTGTAGGGCCATACTTATACAGCAGGTTAGGTTCCGGGCTACTGTAGGGCCCTACTTATATAGGAGGTTAGGTTCTGGGCTACTGTAGGGCCCTACTTATACAGCAGGTTAGGTTCCGGGCTACTGCTGTAAAGTGAAAATCACTTTAAAGTGAAACAACCTATTTCACTTTCAAATGCATATAAAAGCCTGATAATATGTTTACAGTATTTTGTATTAAGTGAGGAATAGAGCTAGGCCTTAAAAAAACGCATATATACATTATTTACCTTAAAATACTTTTGTCCTTAGCCTATAGTGAGTAGCGAATATATTTATTGTAGGAAGTCTGAATAAATGAAGACTGCGTATAATTGAAAATCACTGCATTAGCAAAACGCCATAAAGTGAAGCACTGTAAAGCGGGGCCTGCCTGTACTTGCATGATGCCAGGGTCCAACTTTAGTAAGAATATTTTTCCTTGAATTTTATTAAGTAGAGCTATGAGATGATGAATATTTGTGGAAGAAAATAAGATTTGTGTTTTATGATTATTTTATGTTGTATAGTCACTTAATAATATATATTTTATATACGTATTGATATGAAATGATATGTAAATCTATGTGTCATAAAGACAATGAAATATTTTATTTCACTAACAGCTACAGTCTTAAGGGTTTCGGAGCAGAAAAGTTCCGAGTGAACAACAGTACTGGGGAGATTTTCGTGGCCAACTGTGGGCTGGAGATATGTCTCGATTACGAGCGCCAAAAGACTTTCTCCCTCACGTACTCAGCAACTGATGGTGGTGGCAAGGTCACATCCGTCAACATTTTTATTGACGTGGAGGATGAGAATGACAACTCGCCGGAATTTTCAAGACGAGAGTACCGTAGGACAGTGGATGAGGGAGCAACGACTTTTGACCCCCCGCTGTTTGTTAAGGTCGGTACAGCTTTCCACCTTTCTCTGTGGTGTTGGTGGCAGTGGTGGTATTTTGTCAAGAGAAATGGAAAAATTTCTCCTTGCTCAAGTATAAGTTGAGTATGACACATGTCCAACAATTGTGTATCTTGTTGAAGTGTTTCGCCTACACAGTAGGCTTCTTCAGTCAGATACAGAGGCAGCAGGTGTAGTAGTGAAATGAAGATGATGTAATTAGTCCCTCAGCCTGGAGAAGAGTTCAGCTCCATGGTCTGGAATGAAATGAATCTGAAGCTGCTGAACATGTGTCTTACTCATCAACTTGTCATTTTTTTTATACCATTTTCAAGAAAAATTTTAGTCATGTGAGAAACAGTGGAACTTTTGATCATTATTTTAAGTCCTTCCATTACCTTGCTAGTTCACCCTATATAAAAATTAAAGATTGCATAAGATGTGATACATGGTCACCCATCACTAATCTGGCAGTCAGTAATCCGGCATTAATTTCGGCTAGCATAATTTCAAATTTCTAGGGTCGTCACATCAACCTTCCACTACTGTTTGGTGGCGCTACTTGCTGCACAAGTCATTCCAATTTCTTTTTTTTCCATTATTGTTATAACCTGCTCACATTTAGCCCTAGCCATGGTTCTAATGAATAAAAAAAATGCTTCTCATTGTGTAAAGCACATACACTGTACATTGTCCATAAAATACAAGGTGGGTTTGAAGCCACTGTCGGTCGTCATGAGCTCAACGCACTCAGATAAGCTGTGACTGGTAAATTTTCAACTACATATGAGAGAATAGGTCTGTGTGGTATACTGGTACCTAAATTTCAAACTTAACTAGTCATTGACGACGCACACCGCGACTCCCAGGCCCTAACTGATGGAACATAGCAAAGTGAAACCGTGTTTTACTTGGTGATAAACCCACTGACAAGGTTAACACAGCAAATTATAAAAAAGTTCTGCAGCGCGCAGGGCATAATGAGAAAAAGCTATGACCGTGTTTTTGGTGTAAAACTGACTTTATGGTGTATTTTCGCATGGTTTTTATGGTTGTATTCTCGTTTTTTTGGTCTAATTTGATAGAATGGAAGATATATTACAGAAATAGATATGATTTTGATTAGTTTCACAATGAAAAGTACCTTGAAATTGAGCTCAAAGTAGCGGAAATGTTCAATTTTTGCCAGATGTTCAAGAGTAAACAACTGGCCAGTCTGATACACAGTCACCAGTGGGTTGACATTATTTATACAATTATTACAATAATGCAGTAGTCTACATAACAGTAAATCTTCTATTTTTTGTGTGAATAAAAATTTAAAATGGAAAGCAGGCGTAATTTGAGAGGGGTCTGGAGACGTGAATAATGAGCAGAGAAAGTGTTATTTTAGTGCCAGGAATGTCTGCATTGTTTATTCTGGACCCTATTTTGACATTGGCTTCTCTTGAAATTTGTGTGAAATTGTTTAAATTGCCAATTTCTGACCATTTTATTGGGTAGCTGAAATAGGTAAATGGGTGGTTTCTTGTACTCACTCGACAGAATAGGAGGGATACTAGCCAAATAGCTATGAGTTTGGTAGACTGGAACAATGGAATGGACCAAAAATAGGGTGTAAATTGGGTGAAATCACTGATTCATAAATACTGCCTTTAGGTTAAGTGCATTCTAACCCAACCACTCTGGCAAAATCACTAATCCAGCACCCTACAGGTCCCAATGGTGCCTGTTTAATGATGGTCAACCTGTAGTGGTCTTTTCGTAGTAATATAAATGCATTTTGGATCCTATAATAATATATCTTTATTTCTGCAAGTACATGTACAAGGTATACAGGCCTAGCTAACATCAATGACATACTTCTATATAGAAAGCCCCCTTGTTATGCAGAGCGTTTCAGGCAAATTAGGTCAGTTTTGTCCCAGGATATGACCCAGACCAGCCGACTAACACCCAGGTACTCATTTTACACTGATGGGTGAACATGGACAGCAGGTCTTGTGGAAACATGTCCTAATGTTTTCCAGCTGTACCAGAGATTCGAACTCTGGACCTCAGTATGTGAGCTGAGTGCACTAGTGATCGAGCTACGGGACCATACATAACATTGACAAAGTTTCCAGTGAGCAAAAATTAGCTGCAGTAACTGTCTTAATGAATAAACATGTGTCCGTTTAACTAACATTATCGGTAGTTGTGCCAACAATTAATATTCATAACTTCTTCATAATTTCCAGCAAGTGTGTGTGAGCGTGTTAGATAGGAGTAAATGGAGACGAATGGTATTTGGGAAATGATGAGCTATTGGAGTGTGAGCAGGGTAATATTTAATGAAGGGATTCAGAGAAACCGGTTATTTTTATATAGCCGGACTTGAATCCTGGAAATGGGAATTACAATGCCTGCACTTTAAAGGAGGGGTTTGGGATATTGGCAGTTTGAAAGGACATGTTGTGTATTTTTATATGTATGCTTCTAAATTGTTATATTCTGAACACCTCTGCAAAAACAGTGATTATGTGTGAGTGAGGTGAAAGTGTTGAATGATGACAAAAGTATTTTCTTTTTGGGGATTTTCTTTCTTTTTTTGGGCCACCCTGTCTCGGTGGGAGACGGCTGACTTGTTTGAAAAAAAAAAAACTTCTTCATTTGATTATATTGTATTTATTAATTAAATTGGTAAATTATATTACTTAACTCCCATTGACAAAGACTTGCTGATGGATGCTGTTTATTTTTCCCTGTATCCCCAGGCAACAGACGCTGATGGGGAGAACCAAGGTGGGGGGAAGGTATTCTACTCCTTGCAGGAAGGTAACACCGATGACGAGGCCTTTTTCGTGGAGCCCATCAGTGGGGAGGTGACCATCCAGCGAGCTCTCACCTACCTAGACACCCCTACCTCTACTTATACCCTCACTATCCGTGCAACTGATGCAGGTAACTCCCATCTCCAATTACCACATCATGCAAGCTCTTAACACTCGGCTTTGGTCCAAGTTGGACTGAAACGTCTTCATAAGTTTCTGTTATTTGTGTACAGGAGAGTCCCACTTTTACAGCATGTTATGTTCTGGGCTACTGTAGGGCCCTACTTATATGGCAGGTTATGTTCTGGGTTACTGTAGGGCCCGACTTATATAGCGGGTTTTGTTCTGGGCTACTGTAGGGTCCCACTTATACAGCAGGTTATGTTCTAGGCTACTGCAGGGTCCCACTTATACAGCAGGTTATGTTTGGGCTACTGTAGTGTCCCACGTATACAGCAGGTTATGTTCTGGGCTGCTGTAGGGTCCCGCTTATACAGCAGGTTATATTCTGGGTTACTAATGAGAAGTCTTTTTGAGATGTGCTATGTGCTCGTGGCACTATGAAAACCATGCTGTTTTCACCTCATTTTTGACACAAGTGCAGTAAAGGATAATAATAATAATAATAATAATAATAATAATAATAATAATATTTATTTTGACATGATACACAGTTGCACAAAATAATATAATAGTTGAGTGTACATGCCAAAAGCCCCTTTGTATGCAGAGCGTTGTGGGCAAACTTAATATTAACTTAAGATTAGGAAGGCAAAAACAGATTATTATTCGTGTATTGGATATCTGAGTACAGTAATTGTAGTAGGGTCCCACTTATGTAGCAGGTTGGGTTCTGGGCTACTGTAGGGTCCCACTTATATAGCAGGTTGGGTTCTGGGCTACTGTAGGGTCCCACTTATATAGCAGGTTGGGTTCTGGGCTACAGTAGGGGTCTCCACTTATATAGCAGGTTGGGTTCTGGGCTACTGTAGGGTCCCACTTATATAGCAGGTTGGGTTCTGGGCTACTGTAGGGTCCCACTTATGTAGCAGGTTGGGTTCTGGGCTACTGTAGGGTCCCACTTATATAGCAGGTTGGGTTCTGGGCTACTGTAGGGTCCCACTTATATAGCAGGTTGGGTTCTGGGCTACTGCAGGGGTCCCACTTATATAGCAGGTTGGGTTCTGGGCTACTGTAGGGTCCCATTTATATAGCAGGTTGGGTTCTGGGCTACAGTAGGGGTTCCACTTATATAGCAGGTTGGGTTCTTGGCTACTGTAGGGTCCCACTTATATAGCAGGTTGGGTTCTGGGCTACTGTAGGGTCCCACTTATATAGCAGGTTGGGTTTGGGCTACTGCTAGGGTCCCACTTATATAGCAGGTTGGGTTCTGGGCTACTGTAGGGTCCCATTTATAGAGCAGGTTTGGTTCTGGGCTACAGTAGGGGTCCCACTTACATAGCAGGTTGGGTTCTGGGCTACTGTAGGGTCCCACTTATATAGCAGGTTGGGTTCTGGGCTACTGTAGGGGGTCCCACTTATATAGCAGGTTGGGTTCTGGGCTACTGTAGGGGGTCCCACTTATATAGCAGGTTGGGTTCTGGGCTACTGTAGGGTCCCACTTATATAGCAGGTTGGGTTCTGGGCTACTGTAGGGTCCCACTTATGTAGCAGGTTGGGTTCTGGGGTACTGTAGGGGCTCCCACTTATAGCAGGTTGGGTTCTGGGCTACTGTAGGGTCCCACTTATATAGCAGGTTGGGTTCTGGGCTACTGTAGGGGTCCCACTTATATAGCAGGTTGGGTTCTGGGCTACTGTAGGGTCCCACTTATATAGCAGGTTGGGTTCTGGGCTACTGTAGGGTCCCACTTATATAGCAGGTTGGGTTCTGGGCTACTGTAGGGTCCCACTTATAGAGCAGGTTGGGTTCTTGGCTACGTGGTAAAGGTGGGTCTTACTTAGCCCAGGTTGGGTTCTGGGCTACTGTAGGGTCCCATGTATATAGCAGGTTGGGTTCCGGGCTACTGTAGGGGGTCCCACTTATATAGCAGGTTGGGTTCTGGGCTACTGTAGGGGGTCCCACTTATATAGCAGGTTGGGTTCTGGGCTACTGTAGGGGGTCCCATTATATTGCAGGTTGGGTTCTTGGCTACTGTAGGGGTCCCACTTATGTAGCAGGTTGGGTTCTGGGCTACTGTAGGGGGTCCCACTTACATAGCAGGTTGGGTTCTGGGCTACTGTAGGGGGTCCCACTTATATAGCAGGTTGGGTTCTGGGCTACTGTAGGGGGTCCCCAAATTATATAGCAGGTTGGGTTCTGGGCTACAGTAAAGGTCCCACTTATATAGCAGGTTGGGTTCTGGGCTACTGTAGGGTCCCACTTATATAGCAGGTTTGTTCTGGGCTACTGTAGGGGGCCCACTTATATAGCAGGTTGGTTCTGGGCTACTGTAGGGTCCCACTTATATAGCAGGTTGGGTTCTGGGCTACTGTAGGGGTCCCACTTATATAGCAGGTTGGGTTCTGGGCTACTGTAGGGGGTCCCACTTATATAGTAGGTTGGGTTCTGGGCTACTGTAGGGTCCCACTTATATAGCAGGTTGGGTTCTGGGCTACTGTAGGGTCCCACTTATATAGCAGGTTGGGTTCTGGGCTACTGTAGGGGGTCTGACTTATATAGCAGGTTGGGTTCTGGGCTACTGTAGGGGGCCCCACTTATATAGCAGGTTGGGTTCTGGGCTGCTGTAGGGTCCCACTTATATAGCAGGTTGGGTTCTGGGCTACTGTAGGGTCCCACTTATATAGCAGGTTGGGTTCTGGGCTACTGTAGGGGTCCCACTTATATAGCAGGTTGGGTTCTGGGCTACTGTAGGGGTCCCACTTATATAGCAGGTTGGGTTCTGGGCTACTGTAGGGGTCCCACTTATATAGTAGGTTGGGTTCTGGGCTACTGTAGGGTCCCACTTATATAGCAGGTTGGGTTCTGGGCTACTGTAGGGGTCCCACTTATATAGCAGGTTGGGTTCTGTGCTACTGTAGGGTCCCACTTATATAGCAGGTTGGGTTCTGGCTACTGTAGGGTCCCACTTATATAGCAGTTGGATTCTGGGCTACTGTAGGGGTCCCATTATATAGCAGGTTGGGTTCTGGGCTACTGTTAGGGTCCCACTTATATAGCAGGTTGGGTTCTGGGCTACTGTAGTGGTCCCACTTATATAGCAGGTTGGGTTCTGGGCTACTGTAGGGTCCCACTTATATAGCAGGTTGGGTTCTGGGCTACTGTAGGGGTCCCACTTATATAGCAGGTTGGGTTCTGGGCTACTGTAGGGTCCCATTTATATAGCAGGTTGGGTTCTGGGCTACTGTAGGGGTCCCACTTATATAGCAGGTTGGGTTCTGGGCTACTGTAGGGTCCCACATATAGCAGGTTGGGTTCTGGGCTACTGTAGGGTCCCACTTATATAGCAGGTTGGGTTCTGGGCTACTGTAGGGTCCCACTTATATAGCAGGTTGGGTTCTGGGCTACTGTAGGGGTCCCACTTATATAGCAGGTTGGGTTCTGGGCTACTGTAGGGTCCCACTTATATAGCAGGTTGGGTTCTGGGCTACTGTAGGGTCCCACTTATATAGCAGGTGGGTTTTTGGGCTACTGTAGGGTCCCACTTATATAGCAGGTTGGGTTCTGGGCTACTGTAGGGTCCCACTTATATGCAGGTTGGGTTCTGGGCTACTGTTGGGTCCCACTTATATAGAAGGTTGGGTTCTGGGCTACTGTAGGGTCCCACTTATATAGCAGGTTGGGTTCTGGGCTACTGTAGGGTCCCACTTAGCAGGTTGGGTTGTGGGCTACTGTAGGGTCCCACTTATATAGCAGGTTGGGTTCTGGGCTACTGTAGGGTCCCACTTATATAGCAGGTTGGGTTCTGGGCTACTGTAGGGTCCCACTTATATAGCAGGTTGGGTTCTGGGCTACTGTAGGGTCCCACTTATATAGCAGGTTGGGTTCTGGGCTACTGTAGGGTCCCACTTATATAGCAGGTTGGGTTCTGGGCTACTGTAGGGTCCCACTTATATAGCAGGTTGGGTTCTGGGCTACTGTAGGGTCCCACTTTATAGCAGGTTGGGTTCTGGGCTACTGTAGGGTTTCCCCCTTATATAGCAGGTTGGGTTTTGGGCTACTGTAGGGTCCCACTTATATAGCAGGTTGGGTTCTGGGCTACTGTAGGGTCCCACTTATATAGCAGGTTGGGTTCTGGGCTACTGTAGGGTCCCACTTATATAGCAGGTTGGGTTCTGGGCTACTGTAGGGTCCCACTTATATAGCAGGTTGGGTTCTGGGCTACTGTTGGGTCCCACTTATATAGAAGGTTGGGTTCTGGGCTACTGTAGGGTCCCACTTATATAGAGGTTGGGTTCTGGGCTGCTGTAGGGTCCCACTTATATAGCAGGTTGGGTTCTGGGCTACTGTAGGGTCCCACTTATATAGCAGGTTGGGTTCTGGGCTACTGTAGGGTCCCACTTATATAGCAGGTTTTGGGTTCTGGGTACTGTAGGGTCCCACTTATATAGCAGGTTGGGTTCTGGGCTACTGTAGGGTCCCACTTATATAGCAGGTTGGGTTCTGGGCTACTGTAGGGTCCCACTTATATAGCAGGTTGGGTTCTGGGCTACTGTAGGGTCCCACTTATATAGCAGGTTGGGTTCGGGGTACTGTAGGGTCCCACTTATATAGCAGGTTGGGTTCTGGTGCTACTGTAGGGTCCCACTTATATAGCAGGTTGGGTTCTGGGCTACTGTAGGGTCCCACTTATATAGCAGGTTGGGTTCTGGGCTACTGTAGGGTCCCACTACTTCTCACTTTATTATAGCAGGTTGGGTTCTGGGCTACTGTAGGGTCCCACTTATAGAGCAGGTTGGGTTCTGGGATACTGTAGGGTCCCACTTATATAGCAGGTTGGGTTCTGGGCTACTGTAGGGTCCCACTTATATAGCAGGTTGGGTTCTGGGCTACTGTAGGGGTCCCACTTATATAGCAGGTTGGGTTCTGGGCTACTGTAGGGGGTCCCACTTATGTAGCAGGTTGGGTTCTGGGCTACTGTAGGGTCCCACTTATATAGCAGGTTGGGTTCTGGGCTACTGTAGGGTCCCACTTATATAGCAGGTTGGGTTCTGGGCTACTGTAGGGTCCCACTTATATAGCAGGTTGGGTTCTGGGCTACTGTAGGGTCCCACTTATATAGCAGGTTGGGTCTGGGCTACTGTAGGGTCCCACTTATATAGCAGGTTGGGTTCTGGGCTACTGTAGGGTCCCACTTATATAGCAGGTTGGGTTCTGGGCTACTGTGGTCCCATAATTCACTGCTATGTAAGGCCCCCTATGCTTGGTTGGGAATCGGCCAGTGTCCATTAAAACAAAGTTGGTTCTGGGCTAACATGTAGGTCACACTTATAATTTGCAAGTAGAGGCTAGGCCTTAGGCCCACATTAATAGCAGTACGGCACTTATTCCCTTAAAGCATTTTTGTTCTTAGGGCCCCTTTATAATTGTTCTGGTACATATTTTGTACAGTTTTTGGAGTCTGGAAACAGAAAATGGATTATATAAAAGCCACCTGCATTACGCCGGTGAAAAAAAAAACAATAAAGCAAAGTCACTTTATAAAGGAGGGAGCTCCTGTACATTTATGTACAACATTACACTTGAAATAGTTTTGGGTTTTTAAAATAATGAGGGACATATATCAAATTGGAGGAAAATGAAGCACTGTTCATGAAAACCCATTGCCTAAGCAAAGGCTGAAAGTGGGATTTAATTTCTATGTGATAGTTTCATGGTTTTTTTACTGAATAGTTTGATTTTTTAATTTTTCCCTTGGGGAGAGGTCACTGGGAAATGGAAGCTCCTTTTCAGCAACATGTTTTGTTAGTGGTGACTAAAATTCCATTTGAATAGTCTGTAATCTTCTGTATAATTATAACTATAAATGAAAAACTTTTTACATTTTTAAAGGTGCAAATTTCAGAAATATAACAAAGAAAAAAAATAAAAAAAAATGTACATTATATACGGAAACCAGCAAAAATATTAGCCTCAGGTTAATGCCTTACATTACATTATTGTTAATAAATATTAGCATTTCATAATCCCTTCTCCTGTATAAATTACAAAATGTAAGAAGTAAACTTTACGTTTCTTCTTTTATGGGTCACCTTACCTTGGTGGGAGACAATCTTTGTGTAAAAAAAAAAAAACAGCATTACAAGAGATAAAATAATGCTAAATATTGTTCTCTTTTCTTTCACCATCCACCAGGTGAGCCACGGCGCCACAGTGATGTCCGAGTGTTTATCACAGTCGGGCGGGATACAAACCGACCACCCAGGTTCAGACAGCGGGGTTATCAGGCTAAAGTCCGTGAGGATGCCCCATCAGGTGAGATCCTTCCTGACACCTCATATTCAATTCAAATTTTTATTTCCTTTTTGCAGTACACAGATAATGTCTGCCCAAAATGCACCGCTTGGTAGTGGCTTTCTTTTGTGTTGATGAATTTCATTTGTATAACTGTAGTGTAGGCACACATCTGGCATGACGGTGATGGAGTAAATCATGATGATAGTGTTTCTTCTTTTTTGGGTCCCCTTCCTTGGTGGGAAACAGCTGATGTGCCAATTATAAATAAAATTATTTTTATTATTACCAGCTTACACATAATAAAATATTGGTAGTCACAAAAGAAAGCCACTACAGGTGCTCCTCAATTTATGATAGTTTGACTTACAATACTTGCCTTTACAATGGTGCTTACAATACTTGCCTTTACAATGGTGCTTACAATACTTGCCTTTACAATGGTGCTTACAATACTTGCCTTTACAATGGTGCTTACAATACTTGCCTTTACAATGGTGCTTACAATACTTGCCTTTACAATGGTGCTTACAATACTTGCCTTTACAATGGTGCAAAAGCCATTACTTTGGAGATGAAACTTAAGATAATTACTGGTATTTAGTTAGCTACAGTAATTATTTGTTTACTTATTCAGTGGCAGTAGTTTTTTATTTATTTAGCACATCATATTCATATTCAACATATGGATCTTTGTCGCTCTCCAGGAGCTTCGTCGCTCCTGGAGAGTGAAACATTGCCACAGTAAAATGTCTCATTAGTTGCACTTGTGGCCTTTTACCTAACATAATTCTAGTCAAATCTCTGTTCTCAAGCTGGATTGATAGTGAACTCAGCTCACACATCGAGTTTCCACGGTTTGATCCCCGGTATGGGTGAAAACGATGGGGTGTTTTTCCTTATGATATTTGCTGTCCCAGGTTCACCTAGCAGTAAATACATATCTGGGTGTTAGCCAGCTAGTGTGGGTTGCATCCTGTGGTACAAAATTAACCTAAGTTGCAGGAAATGCTCTGCATAACCAGGGACTTTCTATATAGTATATCATTTCTGTCAACTATGGTCTGTATAAGTTGTATCATGTACTTGTAGAAATAAAGATGATTATTATTATAAAAATAGACACAATGCATTGTATGGGTTTACATTTCATCATATTATTTTTATGGTATAATTTGTGCTGTTATTTCCTTTTCTTGGTAACCCAGGCACAAGTGTGATACAGGTGTCAGCCAGTGACCCTGATGGACTCGATGAGGCTCTAACATACGTGTTGATGGCAGGAGCCAGGGACAACTTTATCATGAATGGCACCACAGGCGAGATCACAGTTGCTCAGGGTGCCACCCTTGACCGTGATGTCACCCCTAAGTACCAGGTCAGTGCTTAAGTTCCAGAGACAAACACCATGGCAGTATTGTAAAGGAGGGATAAGTATGTTTATTTAGGTACAAGTACACATAAATATACATAGCATCATATGTGTAGATTACCTAAGATAACTAAAAATAGTCAGAAAAGTGAGTTATTTCCATTGGGATAATGGGGTAATATGTTAATTTCATAGACTTAGTAATAAATCAGGTCACTGCCATTTGTAAGGTCAAACAATCATGTTACTGCCAAAAACTACAAAGAGGTTAGACCAGTGTTAAATAGGAGGTGGAGATACCTACAACAGAGGGGGTCACTGTTGCAATCAAAATGACGTCATGTCACTTACATGTCGTATTTATATGGTAAGGGTGAACCCAAAGGTCATTGCCACAAGGAAGACAAAAAGGTAGGTCAGTGGTACATGGGAGGTGGGAGGCACCCACAAGAGGTCATGCAATGCCATGGTCAGGAGGAGAGGTCAGGTCATTTCCACATTAAGTATAAGAGGTCAAGTCATTGTTTACAAGGGAGGTTAGTTAGATTTCTGGAATAATTGACATGTGCAGGTGCTTTATGGTCAAAGTTGTTGAACACTTCCCAGTATCCTGGCACAGAAACATTAGGATGTGTTTCCTTAAGACACGTGCTGTCCCTGTTCACCTATCAGCAAAATAGATACCTGGGTGTTAGTCGATTGGCGTGGGTCACATCTTGGGACAAAATTAACCTAATTTGCTCGAAATGCTCTGCATAACAAGGGGCTTTCTATATAGCATATCACTGATGTCAGCCAGGTTTGCATACATTGTACATGTAGAAATATATTTTATTATTATTATTATTATTATTATTATTATTATTATTATTATTATTATTATTATTATTATTATTATTATTATTATTGTTATTATTATTTTTCTCTTGATTACAAGAAAACAGTGTTTGTTATAGGTGGTGGTGGGAGCAGTGGACAGTGGAACTGTGACACGCCAGACAGCAACTACAACTGTTACAGTCCTACTCATTGATGTTAACAATAAGCATCCAAAGTTTAATCAGGTTAGTTTAATTTATCGTCTTCATTATGCACCACCATACCGTGGTGTGGGTGGCAGTCAAAATATTACAGAGGCACGTAATGAGTCCAAGGACTGGGCCTCTTAAGTTTGGATAACTAAGCAAGTTACATGTTTATATCTGGTTACAGTTGTAATGAGTTATGCAGACGTAAATAATTTTAGCGGAAAAGTTGAAATTTTCGAAAAATGCTCAAAAAACATCAAAAAGAGGAAAATATTGAGTCATCATTGTTTTTCATTTCGTATAAAATACTAAGATTGTGCTTAATTTTCCCTACCATGAAATTCACATTGTGCTGTTTAGAGTGACATCTAAACTGTCGTATCTGAGCGCCTCTGGAAAGGCAACGATGGTGTGAATGATGGTGAAAGTGTTTCTTTTTCAGATCACGTTGCCTCTGTGGGAGACAGCCAGTGTATTAAAAAAAACAAAGAAAAAATATTTTGTTACATGTAAATTACATTATCTGTATATATTGCATAAAAGAAAAAAGAAATTGAATTTGCATTTGATAGCCCGTGTACTCCTCAACACAGGACTCATACACACAATATGTAAGTGAACGACTGCCGGTGGGGGAAAAGGTTGTGACTGTGAAGGCAAGTGATCCTGACGTGGATGCTGACCTTGTTTACGAGATCACTCAACCTGTCATGGCCAGAGACAAGACCGGTGTTGCACTCACCCCATCCTCACCTTATGACTACCTCTCCACCTTCAGGTATGACTTCTCTTTTGCTTATCCTGCTCATCTCATCCTCACCCTGTAATTACCATATTTTATGGCATCAAAGGTGCTGTTTTTGTTTTCTAAAATAAGTCTCGAAAATTTGCCCAGCGTCTTGGAGGCTGGCGTACCATTTATCTTTTTTTTTTTTTTTTTTTTTTTTTTCTTCAAAAATTTAGCCAACCAGAATTGGGAGGCATCCTCGACACTGGAGCATCTTGTTTGCTGTAAAGTGTGATACCTTTATTGTTTCAGGTACATCCTATGCTTTGGTTCTCTTCCAGGGTGGGGCCTTGAGGCTGGAAAATGTTTTTTTTACCCTCCTTGTCCTCAAATTAAATATGAGGACTTTCCATTATGCCAATGAATTCAAATCACTCTAAACTGAAATTCTCCATGGGGAAGTGGAAAAGAATCCTTTCCCCGTAAGCCATGTGTGTCGTAAGAGGCGACTATAATGCCAAGAACAAAGGGCTAGTAACCCCTTCTCCTGTATAAAATACTGAATGTAAAAAGAAAAACTTTCGTATATTTTTTTAGGGTGTCCTAAAAAGAAAAACGGAATTCCATTTTTCTTTTTAGGTCACCCTGCCTCAGTGGGAGATGGCTGGTACATTAAAAAAAAATTGAAATTGCTAGTAGTGAAGATTACAAGTCGTAATATTATGAGTGGTACAATTCATAACTAATTAATTTTCAGAGGACACTTTAAACAGTGTTTTGATTCATCTAGGATCATTATCAAGTCGCAGTTGTTGTGAGTCATTAAGATTGTTGTTGGTTTCAGGATCAATGGGTCAACAGGTGAGGTGGAGGTGTCTGGGGCTCTGGATCACAATGCAGCAGCTGTTGTTATCCTCACCATTACTGTCACTGACAGGAATGCCTCAGAGGCATTCCCCAACCAGATTGACACAGGTGACACCAACCTCCACTTTTCTCTTTCATAAACTGAAGACATTGAGTTAGTTTGAAACTGCTAAAGAAACTCCACTTAACTTCAGATCACTGAATCAGTTTGAAGTATTAATGCCTACTTAAAATTGTGCTATTCTTCACTTAGCTACCTCTCTTTTGTACATTTAAAAACTTCTACTTAATAATAATAATAATCATAATTAGGATTAGGCTGCCCAAAATGCACCATATACTAGTGGCTTTCTTATGTACATAACAATATTTTATTATATGTAAACTACATTATCTGTATACTGCAGAAAGGAAATAAGTTAATTGTGTTTGTATTTGTAACAGTAATATCTGTTGCAGGACATAACAGATTTATGTAATGGGGTGTGATTTAGCATTTAGTGAAAAAACAGTCAAGTTATTCTCCTTAATATGCAGAGCATTTTGGGCAAACTTAAGACCGTCTTAAGATTAATAAGGCAGTGACAATTGTGAGATTTTATACATATTTGTTTTTAAACTTATGACCTCCAAAACATCTAAGTTCCTTTATGGTGTTGATATGTTCTCACCTATTTATGGTTGTAGGGGTCAAGTCACAGCTTCTGGTGTTACGGTATTGTGTTTTACTCATGACGGCAGGATAACTGGCTAATGAAAATATCTGATTATCCACAGCTGAGGTGACTATGTATGTGCAGGCATTCAGTGATCAGAACCCGATCTTTGCACCTCCCTGGACCCCAGCCAGACCCCAGCTGGAGGTTACAGTTAAGGAGGAGCAGCAACCTGGCACTGTTGTCTTCTCTGTTACTGCCAAAGACCCCGTTACAGGTTGGTTTTTTAGTTATACACGATATCCAGTTAGCTATTTAATAGATTGGCCCATTTGTTTTCTCTGTCATTGTCAAAGATCTTATAACAAGATAATCACATAAAGAACAAAAAGGTACAATACTCTGACTGGAACAATACACAAATGACCAGACGTTTCAGTTGAAGTTGGATTGAAATGTCGTCGTAAGCTTCTCTCTCCCATGTGCAGGTTATTTGTTTGAGGTGATCACATTTTATGATTCTTGAGTTTGTGTCAATAGGGCGTAAACAGAGATGTGTATTATCTCTGTTTTTATACACATATATCTGACAATCTGTTGGAGTGTGAGCAGGGTAATATTTAGTGAAGGGATTCAGGGAAACCGGTTATTTTCATATAGTCGGACTTGAGTCCTGGAAATGGGAAGTACAATGCCTGCACTTTAAAGGAGGGGTTTGGGATATTGGCAGTTTGGAAGGATATGTTGTGTATCTTTATATGTTTATGCTTCTAGACTGTTGTATTCTGAGCACCTCTGCAAAAACAGTGATAATGTGCGAGTGTGGTGAAAGTGTTGAATGATGATGAAAGTATTTTCTTTTTGGGGATTTTCTTTCTTTTTTGGGTCACCCTGCCTCGGTGGGAGACGGCCGACTTGTTGAAAAAAAAAAAAAAAAAAAAATCTCAGGCTGTGTTACATATACACTAAGGGTTTACTTAAATTCTTATTTTAGATATTAAAGCATTTTTATTGTTGGTATATAGGTAATATATAGCCTTGATGACCTGTGTGCAGTCAGTAGGACTTAAACCAAACAAACTGAGTGTATTGTATTGTGCTTTAGGTCAGCCTGTACGACGGTATGAGAAGGTGGGCGGGTCAGACCCTGGAGAAATGTTCACTGTGGCGCCCATCACCGGCCAGGTCTCCCTCAACTCCCGCCTTGATTATGAGGCCTCTGAGACTAAAGTAAATTTATTAATTTGACTATATTATATGGCTTTATAATGATTCGACTAATGATATTTCGACTTAAGATAGTGTGATAATGATGCACATTTATAATAAACCTGTATTCATTTATTTACTTTTCAATACTGGTATTTAGTTACAGTAATTATTTTATTCAGCGACAGTAGTTATTTATTTACTTATTTATCATACATTCTTATTTGGACTTAAGATATCTTCAACTTATGATGGGTTCATTGGAACATAACCCCATCACAAGTCAAGGAGCACCTGTATTAAAATGTTCCATTGTACAAATCAGTTCATTGTTTGAAAATTAATAAAACGTTTTGTAAATGTTTAATTTGTTAGCATTGTTTGGCTACTCTTTATTTGTATTATTAATTTTTTTATCATTTGTGTGATTCGACCGACAACTTGATACTTAAGTGTCATTTACTTTTATTGACTTTCTGCTTCTCTGAAAACTGTCACTGAGAAGAAAAATGAATTAGTCAAAATACTAGATAGATTAGAATATATAACTGCTCTCAAATGATCATTAATCTACAAGACGTACTTTTGCTTTTAAAACTTAGTTAATAAAATTTTCTTATAGTATTCTATTTTTGCCAATATAACAAATAGATTATTTTCTACAGAAAACGTCACTACAAGTGTTGGCTATCGCTGGAGATCGCTCTAGTCAGGCCACTGTCATTGTTAATATTGAGGACGTTAATGACAACAGCCCAATTTTCACAGAAAATGTAAGGAAATAGCAGTCAAAGTGAAGGTGTTTGGATTATGTTGTATAGCAAAGTTTTGTTTTCTCATTAGAAATTATTCCTTGAAATTTGTCTAAGATAAATTATACAGCAATAGAGCAGAAAATTTAATAAAATATTTGATAAATTCTAGGAGGCAGGGAAGGAAAATTTGGCTACAATCAAACACACAAAACAAACTATTTCTTTGTGTAGTATATAAGATGTAGTTTACATGTAATAGAATATTGTTAAGCACAAAGAAAGCCACTAGCATGTATGTGCATTTTGGGCAGACTAATCCTAATGTTTACAGACTACTTAAAACTGGACATAGGATATTGAGTGATAAATTTTAAGTATGCATTATTACAAAACAAGGGAGGTAGCAAAAATAGTACAATTTACAATAGTGTATTATCACTAGTCACATTGCAGGAGTACCATGCAAGACTGGCTGAGGATGCTCGCTTCCCCAAGTCCGTGTTGACTGTGAACGCGACGGATGCTGACACTGAGGAGCGAGGGCAGGTCACCTACACCCTGGGTGGTGAGGGGGCACTGCTCTTTGTTATTAATGAAACTACAGGAGAGGTTTGTATCATACACTTCTAGTTATCCAAAAGTTTAAAGAAACAAAAAGACCTTTTATGTCTGCAAAAATGATCATGATTCTAATATGGCTGTTATATTCAGATATTCAAATTTTTTTCTTTGTCTAGTATACAAATCATTGTTTACAAGTAATAAAGTATTGATAAGCACAAAGAAAGCCATTAGCATGCATATGCATGGTTTAACAGCTGATTATTTCTCGAATATTCTTTTGTCATTATATAAAAAAAAACCTCATTGGAGTTATGGAATAAGTATTGATGAATTCTGGAAAGTAACTGATGTGGATGAAAATAAATCCTTATGATGATTCTTTGATGGCAGATTGTGGTAGCTGAGGGTGCGGAGCTGGACCGGGAGACTACACCCACCATCACCCTGGAGGTGACAGCCCATGACACTCCCCAGGGAGGCATCAGTCAGCGCAAGACTACAGTCATCGTTAGTAGCCAACCTCTGCTTATGTACTCTTTGTATTTTCAGTGACCCCTCCAAGGGTAAAAGACTGGCAATGGGCTCTTGTTGCAAGGAATTGGAGCTTCCCTCTCTTTCCTTGGATTATGCCTGATTGCCTCCCATTTTCCAGATGTTGTATAGCTTGTATGAGTTTAGAAAATTAAAAGTGAACATAGATAAAAGTAAGGTGATGAGGGTATCAAACAATCTAGATAAAGAAAAATTGGATATCACATTGGAGGGAGGGAGTATGGAAGAAGTCAATGTTTTCAGATACATGTATTTGGGAGTTGACTTGTCAGCGGATGGGTTTATGAAGGATGAGGTTAACCATAGAATTAATGAAGGAAAAAGGTGAGTGGTGCATTGAAGTATCTGTGGAGACAAAGAAAGTTATCCATGAAGGCAAAGAAGGGAATGTACGAGAATATAGTGGTACCAACACTCTTATATGGGTGTGAAGCTTGGGTTGCAAATACTGCAGCAAGGAGGCAGTGGAGATGTCCTGTCTAAGGGCAGTGTGTGTGGTGTAAATATTATGCAGTGAATTCAGAGTGTGGAAATTAGGAGGAGGTGTGGAGTTAATAAAAGTATTAGTCAGAAGGCTGAAGATGGGTTGTTGAGGTGGTTTGGTCATTGAGAGAGAGAATGGATCAAAGTAGAATGACTTGGAGAGCGTATAAATCTACAGGGGAAGGAAGGTGGGGTAGGGGTCGTCCTCGAAAAGGTTGGAGGGAGGGGGTAAAGGAGGTTTTGTGGGCAAGGGGCTTGGACTTCCAGCAAGCATGTGTGAGCGTGTTTGATAGGAGTGAATGGAGATGAATGGTTTTTGGGACCTGATGAGCTGTTGGAGTGTGAGTAGGGTAATATTTTGTGAAGGGATTCAGGGAAACCGGTTAGCTGGACTTGAGTCCTGGAAATGGGAAGTACAGTGCCTGCACTTTAACCCGTAAACGATCCAAACGTATATATACGTTTTTTCAACATTTGAAAGTATGTAAAAAAAGAAGATCTTTTTGTTTTTTTACATTTGAAAATGTGTAAAAAAACTTTGATCTATTTTTTTTTTATATTTGAAAATATGTAAAAAAATGTAGATCTACTTTTGTAGCGCTACACATGTGAACGTAGATCTGCTCGGACCGTTTACGGGTTAAAGGAGAGGTTTGGGATGTTGGCAGTTTGCAGGGACTTCTAAACTGTCATATCTGAGTGCCTCTGCAAAGACAGTGATTATGTATGAGTGAGGTGAAAGTGTTGAATGATGATGAAAGTATTTTTCTTTTTGGAGATTTTCTTTCTTTTTGGGTCACCCTGCCATGGGAAAGTGGAACAGAATTCTTCCTCCGTAAGCCATGCATGTTTTGAGGGGTGACTAATATACCGGGAGCAAGGGGCTAGTAACCCCTTCTCCTGTATATATTACTAAATTTAAAAGGAGAAACTTTTGTTTTTCCCACCCCACCTTAGTGAGACACGGCTGGTTTCTTGAAAGAAAGAGGATGATGATTCTGGTAATTTTTGGATCTTTAATTAACAATTATTAATTTATGGTCATTTGAAGGGCTTTATTAATCCACTACCATTGTTAAATAATTGTTTGTGCCAGGTATACTCCAGGGGCAGCACCAGAATTTCTATACTGGGGTAGCTGTCAAGTTGGAAGGAGGGGCTAGGAAACTTGTTTTGAAGCAGTTAGGTTAATACAGTGGACCCCCGCATAACGATTACCTCCGAATGTGACCAATTATGTAAGTGTATTTATGTAAGTGCATTTATATGTGTATGTTTGGGGGTCTGAAATGGACTAATCTACTTCACAATATTTCTTATGGGAACAAATTCGGTCAGTACTGGCACCTGAACATACTTCTGGAGTGAAAAAATATCGTTAACCGGGGGTCCACTGTATCTTTATTATGCACCCCATACCCATCCTGTGGGTGTTAGTTACAAGATTACAGAGGTACGTAATATATCCAGGGACTGGGCCACAAAGTTTTGATAGCTGATCAAATTACAGTAGTAATGAACTATTTACATGTTTATATTTGGTTACGAAGCAGCATTATAATTATTACTATTTTTATTTGGAGCACTAAGGGAATTTTAAGGGGAATTGGTCCCAAAACACCCCTTGGTGCCACCTGATTTGTGCTGTAATTATCTGTATAATTATTAATTATGTTTTTCTCCTTTTATCATCAGATTTACCTGCTGATTTTCTGGATTAATATTTCCTTATCGGTCAAAATCTACAGGTGGAGATTGAATTGACGGATGTGAACGATGAGTCTCCACGATGGAGTGAGTCATCGTACACGGCCGTGGTGGCAGAGAACACAGTTGTGGGAAGCCCTGTCACCACTGTGCTGGCCACTGACCCAGACCTTGGTGTCAATGGTATTGTTCGCTACCAGCTGCCTGAGCCACAAGGAGAGGTTCATGGTAAGTTGTCAGTCCTGGCTCCACCGCTGTCAGGCTGCTATTACAATCTATTCAAAGATTTATTTTCCACTTGATACAGTGTTTGTACAGTGATGAGTGACATTTGGTTGTGCATGGAGGAAGCCCATGGTTAAGCAGTGTGTTTCTGGGGAGGGGGTCATCCAAGGAAGGGTTGGAGGGAAGGGGTAAGGGAAGTTTTGATTGCTATTGGCTTTGACATCTGACAGGCTTGTGTGAGCCTGTGAGATAATAGTGATCTGACTTGCATTAGATAAATGGTTCAGAGAACCAACAAGTTGATAAATTAGAAGCATGTGCAACGCTTGGGTATCTTTATTGGGGAAACATTTTGCTACACAGTGACTTCATAAGTCCAATACAAAGAATGGTGGAGATCAGGAGTTTGAGGTAATCAGTCTCTCATCCTAGAGTTAATGTAATCAATCCATAAATCTTGATAAGATTGTTATTTGACAAAATATCTGTAAGAGAGGAAATGCTATATGAGAAAATAAGATAGAATAGTAATCTGTGTATTTTGACCTCCAGCTGAGGCCCTCTTCAGCAGAATACTTGTTTGTACATTTTGACTTCAACTGAGGTCCTCTTCAGCAGAATACCTGTATATTTCAACTTCAACTGAAAGTCAAAATATACAGACTACCAATCTTATTTGTTGTTATCTTGTGGGATTTCGTCTTTCATTAATCAGTAATCATTATACTTTGGTGCACTGTCATCTGTTACAGTATAAATATCTGCTTATACAGGGCTGTTCTCTCTGGATGCTGAAAGTGGTGTGGTGTCAGTGCGGGCGCCCTTGAATGGTAAGGGTCGTACTGAACCTTACGAACTGATAGTGAGGGCCCTTGACCAGGGCTCTCCCCAGCAGTTCTCGGAGGCTACTATCAGGCTCTTCATTGGTGATGTCTCGACTAATGATGGAGTTCCAAGCTTCAAGCGCCCCGCACCTAATGAAGGGGCGAGTGTAAAGGAGGTGCGTCCATAAACGTTAGCTCTGTGGTTCTTGTGATATAGGAAAATACTTTGCTGTTTGTATATAAGGACTCCAATGGAAACAAGTCACTGTCATATTTTTGGGGGTTATCCTAGGTAATTTACACATGTTAAACTAGGTGTCAGGGGTCCCAGACTGTTCAACTGCTTCCCAGCATACATAAGGGGGATTACCAATAGACCTCTGGCTGTCTTCAAGAAGGCTTTAGACAGGCACCTAAAGTCAGTACCTGACCAGCTGGGTTGTGGATCGTACGTTGGTTTATGTGTGGCCATCAGTAATAGCCTGGTTGATCAGGTCCTGATCCACCATGGTATACCCCAGGTATGATAATTGTACTTATGTGTACCTGTACTTAAGTAAACTTATTTACTTACTTCCATGGTGAAGTGGGAAAGCATTCTTTCTCCATAAGCCATGCATGTCCTAAGAGGCAACTGAAATGCTGGGAGCAAGGGGCTAGTAACTTCTTCTGTATATATTACTAAATTTAAAAAGAGAAACTTTCGTTTTTCTTTTTAGGTCACCCTGCCTCAGTGGGATATGGCCAGTTTGTTAAAAAAAAAAGATACCATGTTCATGCACCTAAAGTCAGTTCCTGATCAGCTGGGCTGTGGCTCGTACGTTGGTTTGCGTGCAGCCAGCAGCAACAGCCTGGTTGATCAGGCGCTGATCCACCAGGAGGCCTGGTCACAGACCGGGCCGCGGGGGCGTTGACCCCCGAAACTCTCTCCAGGTAAACTCCAGGTAAGTTGAAAGAAGTTAGCAGTTACCTTTCATGTTATTCTTTAGAGGGATTAGTGCCAAACTTGCACACAAAAACCACTCCCTATGAAAGCAAAAGACTCGGCAGGAGATGCAACATTACCCCAATGAAAAGCAGGGGTGCCACGAGTACAGTGAGAGACAACACAATAAGTGTCCGGGGCCCAAGACTGTTCAGCTGCTTCCCAGCACACATAAGGGGGATTACCAGTAGACCCCTGGCTGTCTTCAAAAAGGCACTGGACAGGTACCTAAAGTCAGTACCTGACCAGCTGGGCTGTGGTTCGTATGTCAGTTTGCGTGTGGCCAACAGTAACAGCCTAGTTGATCAGACCCTGATCCCCCACAAAGCCTGGTCTCAGACCAAGCTGTGGGGGCACTGACCCATGAAACCCTCTCCAGGTATACTCCAGGTGTGCCTCAGTAGTACAGAAACATGCCTACAATTCTTTTATTTTTATTTAGAGGTTTCTAATTACTTTGCTGTAAGTATACTTGAGAGCAAATAAATTTGTATGGATAACTTCTCCCAATGCATTTATTTTGATATAGTTAGGAATTAGTGGAGGCAAGTGGTTGTTATGATTTGACATGCTGTTGGAGTGTGAGCAAGGTAACATCTATGAAATGATTCAGGAAACTGGTTAGCTGGACTTGAGTCCTGGAAATATAGTGGGAAATACAGTGTCTGCATTAAAAGAGGGGGTAGGAATGTGGTTTGGATCATCTGAACTGTGATGTCAGTGCCCTTGTGGCAAGACTGTGATTCAGTGAGTGACAGCGAGTGTTTTCTTTTTATCAAGTCACCCTACCTCGGTGGGAGATGGCCAGCGTTAAAAAACTTTCATTTACGTATGCTTGAGAGTAAATAAATGCATGCTGATGACTTCCATGCCTAAAATGTTGTAATTTTTATATGCTTCGAATATTCTCTTTCTTTCCTTTGTATTGTTTATTGAATAATGTTTCTCTTTCTTATTGCATTTCTCTTTTTATGTAATGTATATATTTCTCTGTGTACTGAATGACCTCTGTTAAAGTATATACACTATATTTTATTTTATTAACACATCGGCCATTTCCCACCAAGGCAGGGTGATGCAAAAAAGAAAAAAAACACTTAAATCATCATTTGCTCCATCACTATCTTGCCAGAAGAGCACCTACACTACAATTAAAAACTGCAACATATCTCCACCCCTCTTTCAGAGCACAGGCGCTGTACTTCCCACTTACAAGACTCAAGTATGGCTAACCAGTTTCTCTGAATCCATGCATAAAAGTTATTTTGCTCGCATTCCAACAGCACATCAAGTCATAAAAACCATTTGCCTCCACTCCTATTTAACACACTATATGTAATGTATTTCTAGACTCATGTACAGAGATATTAGTCTTGATGGAGAGCAATCCATCACTTTTCTTGCAGAACTCTAAGGTGGGGACAGCAGTGTTCCAGGTTGAAGCAGAGGACCCCGATGACCCCAGCACCCCTAATGGCAAGATTGTCTACTCTTTCCTTGATGATGGTAGTAATGATGGTGTCTTTGAGATTGGTGAGTGATATGCTGATGTTGTCTAACAGTAAGCCTAGGCTAATGATACATAGGTGTTATCTTCAAACCCAGGCTTATAACATGTAGGTATCAGCTGACATTAGGCCTAAATGAATGACATGTAGGTGTCGGCTAGCAGTAGGCTGGGTGAGTTATGTGGGGGTGTCAACTGACAGTATGCCTGGGTGAGTGATGTGTGGGTGCCAGCTGACAGCAGGTCTGAGTGAGTGATGTACAGATGTCATCTGACATTAAACCTCAGTATAATGATGCCATACAAAACACATGATAGTTACAAAGAGTTTCCTGCAGTGCTTACAATTTTTTTTCATTGTTCCCATCATATGATGGGAACACTTTTGGTATAGTGGAACTCTTGTCTGAGTTCTCAACAATGAAGTTTTGATCAAATGCAATTTTTACATTGTTATTATCATATTACATTCATGCCCCTCTGGCAAGACAGTGATGGAGTGAGTGATGGTGGAAGTGTTTCTTCTTTTGTGGGTCACCCTACTTTGGTGTGAGATGGCCGGTGTGTTAAAAGAAATACACTCATGGAGAAGTGGTGAGCTTGTAGGAGTCATACAATGCAGGGGGAATAGAAGGTAATTTCACCATGTTTTCACCAGTATAATACTCATGGAGAAGTGCTAGTCTCTTGGGTGTTACACCATCTGGGGAATGGTCGTTACTAATTACCATATTTGCAGCCTATAAGACTCACTGGCATATAGGATGCACCCTAAATTTAATATGAAATATACTGGGAAAGTAAAATTGAGGTAAATTTTCTAGAGCCAGTTATATGGAATTATTTGTAGATCCCAAGCCTGACCTTCACCATGTAGGACACAGGGTGATTTTAAAGATCAGATTTTGAAAAAAATAAAAAAGGTGCATCTTGTATGCTGTAAAAGACTGTAGGTTTGATCTAAAGAATTTTGGAAGGGCAGCTCCAATTCCTTGGATGAAGAATTTATCATTAGTATCATGCCACTCATCTTGAAGAGCATACTTTTGTAATTCCATGTGTCTATCATCAGATCCAACGACAGGAGTTATCAGTACCCGCACGGAACTGGATCGTGAGACTCGGGCACAATACACTGTGGTAGTGGTGGCACAAGACCTAGGGAGACCTCCACAGCTTGCCTCCCGCCTCCTTGTTATTAACATCACTGATGTTGATGACAACATTCCAGTCTTCGTCAGACTTCCAGTGAGTGCTAACTTTGTGTGGCCCTGAGGAGTCACATGCTCTTCTTGCTTGCTTCGACTGAGCTTATCTGTGTAAATTTATATTTTTGACATCTTTATAAGAGAAATGATGTTAGTTGATTAATCTAATTTTATTTTTTTACAAAGAAGCAGGTGTAAAAGATTTCAAATAAAGATGGTTAGATTAATAAAAAAAACAATAGCACGTACAGTACACAAAGTAGCTATGTGCACATTAAAAGTACAAAGGCAGAATACCATGACTGGAACACTGCACAAATAACCTACACGTGGGAGAAAAAAACTTACGATAATGCTTTGGTCTGACTTGGACCATTTGTGGCTAACACGACGGTCTGGAGTTTTGAGACTCTCTGACCGCTGGTTCAATCCCGGCCGGGGTATGGTTTGTGTTGATTTGTGACTAGTTAGTAGTCCAAGTCAAACTGAACATTATCATAAGTTTCTTTCTTCATGTGTGACTTATTTGTGTATGTGTACATTGCTTGCGTGGAGTAAGTATTAGTGTTTCTGGCTTGTAACTGGATAGGTAAGTAAGCCTTTCCCCTGGTTAATTAAATATGGATATACTTTTATCTGGATATACTTTTGTTTTTCTTTTTGGGCCACCCTGCCTCAGTGGGATACGGCCGGTTTGTTGAAAGAGGAAGGAGAATTTACAATAGTACAATTTTAAGTGTGTATTAATGCTTTAACCCTTTGACTGTCGCGGCCGTATATATACGTCTTACGAGGTACCATCTTTGACGTATATACTCATAAATTCTAGCGGCTTCAAATCAAGCAGGAGAAAGCTGGTAGGCCAACATGCGAGAGAATGGGTCTGTGTGGTCAGTGTGCACCATATAAAAAAAATCCTGGAGCACGCAGTGCATAATGAGAAAAAAAAAACTCCGGCCGTTTTTTTTTAATTAAAATGCCGAGTTTGTGGTCTATTTTCATATAGTATTTATGGCTGTATTCTCGTTTTCTTGGTCTCATTTGATAGAATGGAAAACATATTATAGAAATAGAGGTGATTTTGATTGATTTTACTATAAAAAGAACCTAGAAATGGAGCTCAAAGTAGGGGAAATGTTTGATTTTTGCCAATGTTCAAAAGTAAACAAATGATGCCATTGTCCAATAAATGTCCAACTAGCCATTCTAATATGCAGTCATGAATGGGTTGATGTTATTTATACAATTATTACAGTATTGCAGTAGTCTGCATAATAGTAAGTCTTCTATTTTTTGTTTGAATAAAAATTCAAAATAGAAAGCAAGAGTAATATCAGAGGGGCCTGGAGACATGACTGATGAGCAAAGAAAATGTTATTTTAGAGCCAGGAAAGTCTGCATTGTTCATTCTGGACCTTATTTTGAAATTGTCATATTTTTTAGTTTTCGTGAAATTGGCCAAATTGCAAATTTCTGACCACATTATTAGGTAGTTGTAATTGGTAAATGGGCAATTTCTTGTACTCAATCAATAGAAAAAATGGAGCTCTAAAGAAATAGCTATGAGTTTGGGCGACTGGAACAATGGAATTAGCCGAAAATAGGGCTCAAATTGGGCGAAATTGCCGATTTGTAAACAGCGCAGAGGTCGCTAAATTCGCGAGAGCATAATTCCGTCAGTTTTCCATCAAATTTCATTTTTTTTGTGTCATTACAATCGGGAAAAGATTCTCTATCATTTCATCAGAAAAAATAATTTTTTTTTTAAATTTTGCAACACCAGGAGACACCTCAGGATTGGGGGTTGCGACAGTCAAAGGGTTAAACTGTTTTAGTGATCTTAGGGTAATTGGGATTTCTTGTATATATATTTAGGTATGCATACTGGTCAGAGAACCCGTCGTAAGTCTAAGTCATTGGTAAACGAGTACGTCGCTAAGTGAGGAGAGGCTGTAAATAGTTACTGCATGTGCAGTACTTGTATATGCCTAGCTTTCAATGTATACCAGTTTCAAATTCAAATTTTTGTTTCTTTATATGCTCTTCATAGTTAATGTAGTTTACATGTAATAGAACATTGTTAGGCACAAAACATAGCCACTAATATGCAGATGCATTTTGGGCAACAAATGTTCATGCTGATTCATTGTACAGAGAACAATATGCAATCAGATCACAGTTCCTTGATAATGTGAGAAATCGCAAAATTACTTGGAATTTCACTATTTTTTCGTAATGGTTATTTTGTGTGCAGAGAACAATATGTGGAACAAAATTAAACAATCTGGCATTAAATAAAGTTCATTATGTACAACATCATCACTGTATATGCAGGGAGACAAGCCGCTGGAACTGGAAGTTGAAGAGGAGGCTGCAGTGGGCACAGTGGTGGGTTATGTGTCAGCCATTGACAACGACAGTGGCAACAACTCTCTCATCGACTACCGCATCACAGGTGAGACTCCACACAACACACACACCACACCACACCAAGCACACACAATGCACCACACCAAGCACACACAACACATCACACCAAACACACACACACACAACACACACCACACCAAACACACACCACTCCAAGCACATACACACAACACACACCACTCCAATCACACACACCACACCAAGCACAACATCACACCAAGCACACACACACAACACACACCACTCCAATCACCACACCACACCAAGCACACACATCACACCAAGCACACACACACACAACACACACCACTCCAATCACACACACCACACCAAGCACACACATCACACCAAGCACACACACACAACACACACCACTCCAAGTACACACACACAACACACACCACTCCAAGTACACACACACAACACACACCGCTCCAAGTACACACACCATACCAAGCACACACACTGCACCACACCAAGCACAACACACACCACATCAAGCACACAACACATACCACACCAACACACAGCACACACCACACCAAGCACACACACACAATACACATCCACACCAAGCACACACACACACAACACACACCACACCAAGCACACACACACAACACACACCACACCAAGCACACACACACAATGCACACCACACCAAGCACACACACACAATGCACACCACACCAAGCACACACACACACAATACACACCACACCAAGCACACACACACCACACCAAGCACACACACACAAATACACACCACACCAAGCACACACACACACAACACACCAAGCACACACACAACACACACCACACCAAGCACACACACAATGCACACCACACCAAGCACACACACACAATGCACACCACACCAAGCACACACACACACAATACACACCACACCAAGCACACACACATAACACACACCACACCAACACACACACACAATACACACCACACCAAGCACACACACACACAACACATACCACACCCAAGCACACACACACAACACACACCACACCAAGCATACACACAACACACACCACACCAAGCACACACACACAACACACACCACACCAAGCACACACACAACACACACCACACCAAGCACACACACACAACACACACCACACCAAGCACACACAAACACACACCACACCAAGTACACAACACACACCACACTAGACACACACAACACACCACACCAAGCACACACACACACCACACCAAGCACACAACACACACCACATCAGACACACACAACACACACCACACCAAGCACACACAACACACCACACCAAAACAGGTGATGTAGGATGCAAGAGAGACAGAGAATGCTACGATACAGAAAGTACATATTGACATCACATAGTCACAGGGGATGTATAAGATTAAGGAATAAAAAAATTGGTAATGGGACAATGCACTGACAAGTGGTAATAAAGATACATACTGCAGACTGTTCCTTTATTTTAAAGACACTTCACTGAGGATTAAACTTCACCGAGTCTTAGTCTTAGAGCTCAGTCATGAGCAAAATATTTGTAAAATAAAGCTAGCAACTGCATTATGTGTCTAGTACATATTTTTTTTTTTTTTACATGTTGGCCGCTTCCCACCAAGGCAGGGTGACCCAAAAAGAAAGAAAAAACTTTCATCACCATTCAACGCTTTCACCACCGCTCATACTTAATCACTGTCTTTGCAAAGGCGCTCAGCTACGACAGTTTAGACACCCCTCCAAACTGCCAATATCTTAAACCCCTCGATTAAAGGGCAGGCATTTTTTTATTATTTCCAGGACTCAAGTCCGGCTAACCGGTTTCCCTGAATCCCTTCACAAAATATTACCCTGCTCACACTCCAACAGCTCATCAGGTCCCAAAAAGCATTTGTCTCCATTTACTCCTATCTAACGCACTCACGCACGCTTGCTGGAAGTCCAAGCCCCTCACCCACAAAACCTCCTTTATCCCCTCCCTCCAGCCTTTTTGGGGATGACCCCTACCCCGCTTTCCTTTCCCAGTAGATTTATACGCTTTCCAAGTCATTCTACTCTGTTCCATTCTCTCAAAATGACCAAACCACCTCAACAGTCCCTCTTCAGCCTTCTGACTAATACTTTTAGTAATTCCACACCTCCTCCTAATTTCCACACTATGAATTCTCACCATAATATTTACACCACACATTGCCCTTAGACGTGACCTCTCCACTGCCTCCAACCTCCTCCTCACTGCAGCATTTACAACCCAAGCTTCACACCCATATAAGAGTGTTGGCACCACTATACTCTCATACATTCCCTTCTTTGTCTCCATGGATAACATTCTTTGTCTCCACAGATACCTCAATGCACCACTTATCTTTTTTCCTTCATCAATTCTGTGGTTTACCTCATCCTTCATAAACCCATCCGCTGACAAGTCAACTCCCAAATATCTGAAAACATTCATCTCTTCCATACTCCCTCCAGTGTGATATCCAGTTTTTCTTTATCTAAATTGTTTTATAACCCTCATCACCTTACTCTTATCTATATTCACTTTCAACTTTCTACCTTTAATTCATGATTGTAATAAAGTTTGTAGAATTACTGACAATATATTAGGTAAAAGGGCACATGTGGTGCAGCTAATATGACATTTTATTGTTGCAACATTTCACTCTCCAGGGGCTTTGTCAAGCTATTACAGCTCCTGGAGAGCAAAACGTTGCCACAGTAAAATGTCGCATTAGTTGCACCTGTGCTCTTTCACCTAACAAATTCATGATTGAAGCTGAGCTATAATAGCGTGAATGAGAGGGAGGCTGTAGCCCACCATTCATGTATTTTCATTAGCAATCAAATGCCCCAATTTGAATGGTGTACAAGGCAGTACTTACTGTTAATTAAAATAAGGCATTTTAAGTGAGCAGCCATTGTAAACAAGATCTGCAGGTGATTGTACTAGTGTACTTCCACAGACGGGAATGCCGATGGGTTGTTTTGGGTGAATCGCACGTTGGACAACAAGGGCATGATCTACGTCAAGGGTCGTGTGGACAGGGAAAAGGTAAGTGCTACTCTGTTTTTGACTGACGTATCACTGTGTGGCTTATTTTTAATAAGTTTTAATTTAAGTGAGTTTTTTTTGGTGGGTTTTAATTCATTTATGATTTTCATAGTTTTAATTTGTGAGTTGTATCTTAATGGGGCTTTAATTTGTGTTAATTCATTTAGGTGTGTGTGCTAATGTTGAATGATCCTCCTAAGTCCAGTGCTCTTTAAGTCAGTGTTACCTCCTTCCTCTTGCTTATAACTTAAATTTCATATTACAGGTTTTTTTTTTTTTTTTTCAACAAGTCGGCCGTCTCCCACCGAGGCAGGGTGACCCAAAAAAGAAAGAAAATCCCCAAAAAGAAAATACTTTCATCATCATTCAACACTTTCACCACACTCGCACATTATCACTGTTTTTGCAGAGGTGCTCAGAATACAACAGTCTAGAAGCATACACATATAAAGATACACAACATATCCCTCCAAACTGCCAATATCCCAAACCCCTCCTTTAAAGTGCAGGCATTGTACTTCTCATGTTATTTATATATCTTTCTTTCTTTCAACGTACCAGCCGTATCCTACCGAGGCGGGGTGGCCCAAAAGAAAAAACTAAAGTTTCTCCTTTTAAATTTAGTAATATATACAGGAGAAGGGGTTACTAGCCCCTTGCTCCCGGCATTTTAGTCGCCTCTTACGACACTCATGGCTTACAGAGGAAGAATTCTGTTCCACTTCCCCATGGAGATAAGAGGAAATAAACAAGAACAAGAATTAGAAAGAAAATAGAAGAAAACCCAGAGGGGTGTGTATAAATATGCTTGTACACGTATGTGTAGTGTGACGTAAGTGTAAGTAGAAGTAGCAAGACGTACCTGTAATCTTGCATATTTATGAGACAGACAAAAGACACCAGCAGTCCTACTATCATGTAAAACGATTACAGGTTTTCGTTTTACACTCGCTTGGCAGGACGGTAGTACCTCCCTGGGCGGTTGCTGTCTACCAACCTACTACCTACAATATGTGTGTGTGTGTGTGTGTGTGTGTGTGTGTGTGTGTGTGTGTGTGTGTGTGTGTGTGTGTGTGTGTGTGTGTGTGTGTGTGTGTGTGTGTGTGTGTGTGTGTGTATATATATATATATATATATATATATATATATTATATATATATATATTATATATAATATAATATATATATATATATATATATATATATTTCTTTCAACACACCGGCCATATCCTACCAAGGCAGGGTGGCCCAAAAAGAAAAACGAAAATTTCTCTTTTAAATTTAGTAATTTATACGGGAGAAGGGGTTACTAGCCCCTTGCTCCCGGCATTTTAGTCGCCTCTTACAACACGCATGGCTTACAGAGGAAGAATTCTGTTCCACTTCCCCATGGAGGTAAGAGGAAATAAACAAGATCAAGAACTAGAAAGAAAATAGAAGAAAACCCAGAGGGGTGTGTATGTATATATATGCCTGTACATGTATGTGTAGTGTGACCTAAATGCAAGTAGAAGTAGCAAGATATACCTGAAATCTTGCATGTTTATGAGACAGACAAAAGACACCAGCAATCCTACAATCATGTAAAACAATTACAGGCTTTCGTTGTACACTCACTTGGCAGGATGGTAGTACCTCCCTGGGCGGTTACTGTTTACCAACCTACTACCTACAATATGTGTGTGTATATATATATATGCAAAACAACCACTCTGAAAGAATAGAGAAATTCCAAGCGCTTTCGTGACTACTCACATTATCAAGGAACTATGAAAATGAAGCATCCAAGGAAGCTATATAAGGGGTCCGGCCAGCACCTCACTATCAGATCCCACAACGGTTAAACACGTGACGCGCGGCGAGCCAACTTGGATAGGTCCTTTGCACAACTCACCCCCAAGCTATTCTACCCAAGAAAATTTAAAAATTATTTGTCCAGTGTATTATTAAATTCTTCCCAAATTCTATTAATTATAAATGGATCTAATTTATATAAACCAAAGGAAATATTTCATATTATTGTCAAAAACTGCTTTTTATGAAACAAGATTCAATTATATTCCTGTCGACCATGGACTTGCTTGATACTACTTTCTCAACTTTTTGAAAATCAATTGGATGGTTAAAATCTCTTACATGAATAAATAGAGCATTGGAATCTTGCCCAGTTCTAATGCTATATTTATGTTGTTTTAATCTTAGTTCGAGATTTTTACCAGTTTGACCGTAATAAACTTTATCGCAAATTTTACAAGGAATCTTATAGACACATCCATCAGCATTTTGGGGGGAATTCTTTATCAAAAGTTTTTTTTACTGTATCAAGATTTTTGAATACAACTTTAATATTAAAAGTCTTAAGAAGAGAAGGCATATCAACCAAGTTTTCATGGTAAGGGAGAACCAACATATTTTTAGTTGAATAAGGCTGGTTGCCCCTTTTTGGATTATAAAAAGTGTTTCTAGCAATTTTAAAAGATTTATCAATTACATTTCTTGGGTATTTTAAATCATTACCTATTTCATAAATTTTGGATATTTCCTCATCTATGAACTCAGGACTACAAATTCGTAAAGCTCTCAAAAACATTGATGAGAAAACAGACAGTTTGACTCTATCTTGATGCGAGGAATAATAGTGGACATAGGAACAGTTATTTGTAGGTTTTCTGCAAATTTTAAATTTGAAATCACCTGTTTACTGTGATCTTATTGCGCATATATATATATATATTAATAATATATATATATATATATATATATATATATATATATATTTTATATATATAAACCCATATATATATATATATAAATAAACCCATATATATATATGTCCTGTCTAAGGACAATGTGTGGTGTAAATATTATGCAGAAAATTCGGAGTGTGGAAATTAGGAGAAGGTGTGGAGTTAATAAAAGCATTAGTCAGAGGGCAGAAGAGGGGTTGTTGAGGTGGTTTGGTCATTTAGAGAGAATGGATCAAAGTAGAATGACATGGAAAGCATATAAATCTATAGGGGAAGGAAGGAGGGGTAGGGGTCGTCCTCGAAAGGGTTGGAAAGGGGTAAGGAGGTTTTGTGGGCTAGGGGCTTGGACTCCAGCAAGCGTGCATGAGCGTGTTAGATAGGAGTGAATGGAGGCGAATGATACTTGGGACCTGACAATCTGTTGGAGTGTGAGCAGGGTAATATTTAGTGAAGGGATTCAGGGAAACCGGTTATTTTTCATATAGTCGGACTTGAGTCCTGGAAATGGGAAGTACAATGCCTGCACTTTAAAGGAGGGGTTTGGGATATTGGCAGTTTGGTGGGATATGTTGTGTATCTTTATATGTATATGCTTCTAAGCTGTTGTATTCTGAGCACCTCTGCAAAAGCAGTGATAATGTGTGAGTGTGGTGAAAGTGTTGAATGATGATGAAAGTATTTTCTTTTTGGGGATTTTCTTTCTTTTTTGGGTCACCCTGCCTCGGTGGGAGACGGCCGACTTGTTGAAAAAAAAAAAAAAAATTATTTTTATTTATTTATTTATTTATTTATTTATTTATTTATTTTCAACAAGTCGGCCGTCTCCTCACTTAACGATGGGGGTTCCGTTCCTAAGAGTAGGTCGGTACGTGAGGAGCATACTATACTGGTAGTGGGTTTGTTAACCGTCTTTAGATATTTTTTTAATGTCAGCTTTGCACCATTTATAACATTTCTGGTATATTTTTAAATGTTTATACAGTAGTTTACGGTATACTATTGTAATAAACAGAATAGAGGAAATCAGCTCGTATACAGATTATTTAGGTTTATAGAGCTGGTCGTAAGTTTGAGTGGTTGGTAAATGAGTACGATGCTAAGTGAGGAGAGGCTGTATATATTTTTTGATAAACATCAGCTGTTTTCCATCCAGATACATGTATATCCTTTAGTTTCTGTGATAAGCTGATTTGAATTTTATGCCCTGTAAATGTTCAGCTGTCATTATTTACACAATATTCTTACAAAATCCTAATACGTAACACTATTTCAAACTCCACCCATTCCATGATAAGGCAATATGTACTTTAATTATTTCCTCATTAAGCTTGTATACACTTTTTTATATACCCCAGTAAACTGTCAATTAACACAGTCTAGTAACACACTGTTAATGCTGAAAAATTGTAACACGTTGTCTATGAGGATGCCATATTTATTATTTAGCATGGAGTAAATATAGGGAAAAATAGTTAAAACATGGTGAAGAAAGTTCATAGGGCCACCATAGTATACATTGTTTATATATGGACAGGCACCTAAAGTCAGTATCTGACTAGCCGGGCTGTGGTTTGTACGTTGGATTACGTGCGGCCAGCAGTAACAACCTGGTTGATCAGGCCCTGATCCACCATGAAGCCTGGTCACAGACTGGGCCGTGGGGGCGTTGACCCCCGGAACTCTCTCCAGGTATACTCCAGGTATATATATTGTTTATCATCACAAGAATCGCAGGTATAATTAACAGTGTAACTTAATGAGCTATTGCCTACATATCAGTCAAGTTATGCAGTGTTTTCATATTAGTGGCATCGTCAGAGCTTAAATGTGAGGATACTGAAGATAATGTTTAGCACGTTAAGAGACCATACAATAAGTGTCAGGGGCCCGAGACTGTTCAACTGCCTCCCAGCACACATAAGGGGGATTACCAACAGACCCCTGGCAGTCTTCAAGCTGGCACTGGACAAGCACCTAAAGTCAGTTCCTGATCAGCCGGGCTGTGGCTCGTACGTTGGTTTGCGTGCAGCCAGCAGCAACAGCCTGGTTGATCAGGCGCTGATCCACCAGGAGGCCTGGTCACAGACCGGGCCGCGGGGGCGTTGACCCCCGAAACTCTCTCCAGGTAAACTCCAGGTAATACAAATTGAGAGGGACTTCAAGATTTATATATCCTAGAATTCTCATATAATGGTCAGTATCACTCTGAGCACACTTAATTTAGTAAAAAGTTTTCTCTTATTGCCAGTAATATATGGTAGTTTTACTGATGTTTGCTTGTGAGCGTGGTTGTGGTGGAGACAGGTGATAATTGTGAAACTGCCTGTCATATCTTTGTACAGGTATTATACAGGGTAACAGCAACTCTCCTTGCACATTTCAGTATCAAAAAGCAATGACAACTGCAATGCAGTGAATAGAAAATCTAATTATTTTTGTCTTGATAAATTACAAAGTTTTTAAAAAAAAAAAAAATTATTTTTGGGGGGTCGTAGGAACATAACCCTGTGCTTTCTATATAGTGTTCATTTCATTTAACACCTTTTTAAATTACACTGTGTTTTCAGGAACATAACTACTGTGCTAATTGACGGTCAGCTCTATTTAATTGCACAATAGCTAATTGTTTAAAAATATTGTATCTCCCTCTATTTTTTTTATTCTCTATATTGAACATCATTTGCAAGTAGTGCATTTACTGTTTTTAAATAATGAGTGAATGCTAGTAAGACTCTGATGTATTTCCAGATAAGAGGAGGATTGAAGAAAAACAAGTGGTGACTGGATAGGGTCTACTGTATGATATAATAAATTAATATGATTTGATTCCTCTGCTATAACAGTAATGGAACTTAGTACAGTACTGTAAATTGGAATTATATTTGCAAGTTTATATCTAACTTGCAAATGTGTCATACAATACAGTACATAATTTTGAAAGCCATAACAAATATTTTTTTTTTTATTATCACACCGGCCGATTCCCACCAAGGCAGGGTGGCCCGAAAAAGAAAAACTTTCACCATCATTCACTCCATCACTGTCTTGCCAGAAGGGTGCAGAAAGAGCATACTGCAAGTTGGATTACTTGGTGTATTAATATGGTTATTATATGTAGTTGGCCTTCCAGCTGCCTGACACAATTACTTCATATTTAGGTATAACATGAGAATATTGCAAAGTTTTTGAATTTCAGGTTGACTCAGTGACTTTGACACTGCTGTGTGGGAAGCTGGGCCGAAAGATGCCAAGCAAGAAGACCTATGACCAGGCTAACCCAGCCATGACTCAGGTATGTCCTGCCTATATCTAGCACATATGTGGGTCAACTTCATAAAGTCCTGTGCAGAGAAATGTTGTCCCAATAAGAGTTTAGTCTACAGAGTGTTTTTTCTTCGCTTTTGTTTGTAGTATGACATTTGGATCTACAATTTCGACATTAAAAATCATGTAACATCATCTAGAATAATAGGAAATTGGGAAACATAAGGACTAATTTTTTTTTTATTTTATTAACACATTGGCCATTTCCCACTGAGGCAAGGTGACCCCTGAAAAAAGAAACACTTTCATCATCACTCACTCCACTCACCAAATAGTAAAAATAGCCTTTACTCTGGTTAGCTTGAATCAGTAAAAATAGGGAGCTAACACTCTTTCTTCCATTATCTATATACAATTTTGTTATACATTAGTAATAACTTAGCATGTGTTCCTGTAGGTGCATATCCTGGTGAAAGACCTGGATGACAACAAGCCCATGTTTGTGAAGCCAGTGGTGACAGCAGGAGTGAGGGTGGATGATTCTCTGCAGACTGAGGTGGTGAGACTCCAAGCAGAAGACAAGGATCCCACTGCCCTTCCCATCAGGTCCATATCCTTACACCTTTACTTTGGTTTTAAATTAATAACATGAAAATAAATTTACTATATTTTTACCAAGTGTCTACTTCCAAAATCATAAAATTTATCTTTGAATTGTACTTATAGGTATGGTCTTCACAACATCAGTTTCTCACATATTGAGGACTCGGTAGAGCTCCTACCTGATGAGGAAGTGAATGCCACGGGAGTGTTTCTGTTGGAGGAGTCTTCAGGTGTGTTACGAACAAATGCACCCCTTACTCGTTACGCCCATGGCATCTTCACAGCCTTTGTCACTGCCTTCTCAGTACCAACTGATGAGCCAGCCATTGCCAAAGTTACAGTACGTTGCGGTAGAGGTGCACTCTTCTCATATATTTAATGTGCATTCCGATCTTTCCAGTGTAAAAATGTATGCTAAACCTAATTGTGTATAGAATCTCCCTCAAATACCAGGTTATCAAGAAGTAGGTTGTGCAAATAGCTGACAGGAAATCATTGAATGACTCACACAGGTTTAGTGCTTTACATCAAATAAACATATCAATACAGTCTATCCCTCACACTTCTGAGTGTGCACATCTTCTTTGCAGATTTTGGCTTTCAGAGCTACACATCTGATGTAGCAAAAAAGTATTATGTACCTGTACTCATCTAAAAATACAGTATCTTCCTGCCTGTTGTAACTCAAATAATGTGTACAAGAAGTTGCTTATAGTAGTTAAATTTTATGCTTTAGGCTTTGTAAGTAAAAAATTAAATTTACAGTTATCCCTACAAATTCATAGGGTTACATTTCTAGAGATACTGCAGATAATTAAAAATTAACTCTGCATAACAAATTTTATTTCAGGTTTGAGTTCATTTTGTATTACATAGAGCATATCTTTGTATTACCCTTATCAGGTTAATATTAACATTCTTAAGAAAGAATGGCCAAAATGAGAAGTGTTGGGGGAGGGAGAGTCGTAGAGCCAGGAAAATGTTGGATAAGTGAATTTATTTACTGGTTATCCATCAGCAAAAATACCTGTAGATTTTTAGGCACAACTGTTATTATGCATTTCACCAAACCATGGAACAGGTGGGTTTTGAACCAACAGTGAGTGAGTCTTAAAACTCCAGGTGAGTGTGTACCCACTGGGTCAGTCATGGGTTCAAACCCTACCTGTTCTGTGGTTGGTTTGTTTGCAATCACATTTTTATGATTATATGAGTTATGCATTTCACCATCAGGTTTATATGTCTTTTCCAGATCTATGTGTTGCGTGACTCTGACCTCATGCGATTTGTGTTTGGCATCACTCCTGGGGAAGTGCGTCGTCAGCTAACCACCTTTCAGGAAGGATGTGGAGAACGTGCTGCCTGTTGCCGCATCTCTTAATATCTATGACACCACTTACTACTCTGATGCTGATGGCGCCATAGACTTCTCCAGCACTGGGTAAAGCAAGTGGATGATGTCCTAACACCTAGGTTGTCTAAAGGATACATGTTAATGGCTTTTATATGAACAGAGTGAGATGAACAGCAATAGTCTGGTTGATCAGACAGTTTAACAGTGAAAGTTTGGCCTTGGTCAAACTTCAAGAGGACAAAAACTCAAAACCAGTCTGATGTAATTATAGATATATTTTTTCAACACACTGGTTGTCTACCGCCAGGGTAGGGGGACCCGAAAAAGAAGAAACACTTTCAGCATCACTCACTCCATCACTGTCTTGCCAGAGATGTGCTGATATTATAGTTCAGATGCCCCTTCAAACTGCAAATATCTCCACCCCCTCTTCCAGAGTGCAGGCTCTGTACTTCTCACCTTCAGGACTCAAGTCCAGCTAACCAGTTTCCCTGAATCTTTTCACAAATGTTACCTTGCTCACACTCCAACAGCTTGTCAAGTCCCAAAACCTATTTGCCTCCACTCCTATCTACCATGCTCACACATACCTGCTGGATGTCCAAGCCCTTCACGCACAAAACACAAAACCTCCTTTACAGCCTCCCTCCTTTCCTAGGATGACCCCTACCCTGCCTTTCCTCCACTACAGATATATACACTTAAGTCATCCTATTTTTCTGCATCCTATCTGAATATCCAGACCACCTCAGCAACCCCTCCTCAGCTCTCTTGATAATACTTTTAGTAACCCCACACTTCCTAATCTCTAAGCTATGAATTCTCTGCATAATATTCAAACCACACATTTCCCTCAATATTCTTTTCTCCACAGATGCCTCAATGTACTACTCATCTTTTTCCGCTTATTAATTCTGTGGTTCACCTCGTCTTTCATAGACCCATCTACCAAGAAATCCACTTCCAAATATCTGAACACATTCATTTCCTCCATACTCCCTCCTTCCAATCTTTCATTACCTAAATCATTTGTTACCCTTATCACCTTGCTATGCTAATCAGATTTTCCTTAATTTAAATTTTGAACTCACAGCAATACTGTATACATGTCTCTCATTCTTAAATTTCTCCCAACTCATTTAACATTCAGGCTGCTGTTAAGATTTTCTTGAAGAACCTGCATACTGTATCCTAATAATTATTTAAAAAACTATTTTTAAATTCAAATTCTTAATGTGTTAAAAGGTGTTATTGAAGAGTAAAGGTCATAATACCATGGCTGAAACTATTCACTACCAACCCACAAATTAAAAGAAAAAAGTGAGTGTTTTGATCCATCCTGGTACATTATCAAGCCCAGGATAGAGCAAAATATGATACAACTTTCATTTAAAGTTCATGAAATAAATTTTAATTGTTGTGTTGTGGCAGGTCTTGCTTCCAGCTGGTTGGCCGTAACATGCATGACACCAAGGTCCTCCTCGACACTTCTCGTAACAATAAATTGGAGAAGGTGTTTGACAAGTACACTGTCAAAAAAGTTGAGGTATGTTATCACTGTCTACAATGGCATAGCCATTGGGGCTAAAACCTCACCCAGGTGCAAATACTTTTTATTTTTTTCAATTAATGGCTAATTTTCACTGCATTGACCAGTGACCATGAAAGCATGATAGTTTAAGAAATTTCACATGCATGCTAAAAATCAGATGATTTCTTTGATTTTTTTAGCATCTTAGGATTTTAATTCTAACCAGATTAATCCTGGCATAAGTTTTCCCAAGATTGAGATTCTGGCTGTGATAGACAGGCTACATAATTTCTTTTACTTTATGAAACATAGGATTTTAAATCTAGCTACTTGTGTTTAAACAAGAGAAGACATCTTTTTATAGAATAAAGCTGGAATATAATTAAATGAATTACTCATATTTTTAGCAATTTTATAATGTAATACCTGTGTAATGAATTATGCAGATATTTTAGCAACATTTGATGAATGTTTAAAAAATATAAAATAAGAATGTAAATAAACTTGTAAAGTACAAGAATTGGAGATGTGTTTTGTGTGTTTAATTGTTAATTCTTGCCGCAGAGGTGTGTTCCACGTCGGGAGTCCCGCCAGGTGGACTGGGTAGAGGTTTGGGTGCTGGTGATTGCTGCTTTCATAGGAGTTGGGGGTTCAGTGGCTGCTGTGTCAGTGTGCTGCCTTTACTCTCGGTACCGGCGGCGGGTGAAGCGCCAGCAGCACCACCTCAGGCTGTTAGAGAGTCCACACTCAACCACCCCTGTGCTGCCCCCAGGCTCCATTATCATGCTACCCCCGGGACCACCACCTGGAGCCCCACAACCCAATGGTGCCATGCCCACTGCATCAGTGTTAAGTTCAGAGCCTCCTAGAGCCTACGAGTGGCAGGAACGAGGACTGCCTCTTGACACTGTCTCCTACAGGAGTGCTCAGAGATAGTTCCACACGTTCAAGAATCCTCAGTGATATAAGAGTTAAGTATTGTTTATTATTATGAAAATTAAGGTACCTTTTGTGCCAATGATTGTATGCCAGTTGATGAGTGACTTATGTTGAAGAGCAAGGAACAATGCACAAAAAACTAAGTTTTACCGCATCTAAAGTTTAGAAAACTATTAATACTCACGTTAGCTAAGTACTGTAGTTATTGCAACCAGCCACTAAGTTTTTTTTTTAACACATTGGCCATTTCCCACTGAGGCAGTGTGACCCAAAAAAGAAGAAACACTTTCATCATCACTCCATCACTGTTTTTACCAGAGGTGCGCCGATACTACACTTCAATAACTGCATAATTTAATTTCTCTTAGGAAGATGATTTAACCTCCCATAGATCACCTGCCTTCATTTAAATTTATGACAGTTGCTTATTTATTTCAGTCCAGATTTTGCATTGATGAATTTCCATTTGATTGAATATTTTGACTGTAATTATATGTATATATTCTTAATATAGTACCTTGTATTAAATAGGCCTCTGAGTGAATATATTATATTCAACTTTTAGAGTTTTTACAGTGTACTTCAATAATAATTATATTTTAAATATATGGAGATTTACATGTAGGCTGTAAACTATGTGCAAATAAAATATAAACAATATACTGTATTTGAGTATCCGAGTCATATGCTGAATAATCAACACCTTCATATTTAATAATTCAATAATATAACAATGGGATCTATATAAGCAGTGATGGTCACATCATCTATAAGAGATCTCACAAGGAAGAGACATCTCTTACATCCAACTATGTGGGAGATGCAACAAAATCTGTGAGGAATCTTTTTACATGTTTGAGAGCTCAGACGTACTTGTAACTTAGACGACACCAACAACGCTTGTGCTGTACACAGGTTAGAGAGCCTTCTCATGCATTTGAACAATGCAGACATAGTCTAAAAAGAACCCAACATGAATAAGCATCTTTAATTGCTGCTTATAACACTACAGAACAAAGGGCTGGCAACTATACCATCTCAAGTTTAACACTCAATGCTGCTAAGTGCCTTTCCTCACCTGCCTCCACCGTCCTTTCGACCCTCGCTAGTCTCTGATCTGGCATGTCATGTCTTTAGCACATCCTGCCCTGCAGCACTGTATCACCCTTGTGGGTTCAGCACTTAGTTTTGATTGTAATAATTCTCCTCACTTGCCACATGACACAGTAGCTAGATAATCTTGCATCACCTGATCATTACTGGTGGTTTGAATTCTCCACCACATATTCTGCTTTACACATGGGATAACAGGTATATCTTGCTACTTCTAATTACATTTAGTCATACTACACATGCATGTACAAGCATATATATACACACCCATCTAGGTTTTCTTCTATTTTCTTAATAGTTCTTGTTCTTTATTTCCTCTTATCTCCATGGGGAAGTGGAAAAGAATTCTTCCTCTGTAAGCCATGCATGTCATAAGAGGCATTGTATTAAAAAGAATTCTCTGCTGCTTGTGTCTTGATTTACAACAACAATAACAGCAACAATAATAATAATAATGCATATGGGAGGTTCCTTGATGCTGGTGAGGGGTTCTTGATCAAGGGAATTGGATCTGTGCTCTAGTTCCCTGAATTAAGCCTGAATACCTTCCATCCCCCCCCCACAGGCACTGTACAACCCTTAAGGGTTTAGCACTCCCCATAATAATAATCTATATTGCATGTAACCTGGTGCTATGTTGCAAAAAAATTATAATTAATGATGAAAATATAATATTAATTAATAACTAGAGTAGTATAGTGTAAGTAGGTACTGTATATAGGATAATTAGAGAACGAGAGAGCACCAATGATATTTTATATACATTTACCAGTACACAGTCCCACAAAGCTAGTGTATGGCCAGGCAAGCAGTAGCTATAATTTGGTAAAAATACATATAATTACAATACACTGATAATTTGCCTGTGGTTAACATTTTTTACATTCTATTAGCAACAACACCCAATGTGAAAATTCAAAATTGATTTTCCAAAATAAACAAAACCAGACTTGTTTAATAAAGAGGATATAGATAACTTAAGTGTAATGAACACTTGTCAGTGCTCAATAATAACCCACATGTAGACAGAACACAAAAGATTAAGTGATCTATATATTTTGATCCCCTTCTGGGGTCCTCTTCAGCAGATAAAGAGGATGCCAGAAGGGAATGGAAATATACAGATCAATTAATCTCCTGTGTTTCTGTCTCCATGTGGGTTATTATTGAACAAAGAGGGTCATTATCTTCATATTAATAATATAAAATACTGTAATAATAAGTGTCTTTCATTATCCACTTAAAAAAATTCTGGACACGATGAGTTTGCAGAAAAGTAACAATGAAGAGGATGAGGGATAAGCCTTAACAAACCTGCCAAAGACTCGTCCTGTAATGGACACATTTGCATCTTTGCTGCCAGCATTACCCTGTGACCTATGTTCACAGCATGATAGGTGGAAGAAAGCTGCGAGTTGACAGGTGCACGAAGACACATTAAACATCTTATTAATGGTACACAATACTGACAGGTAGATGAGTAACACATGTACAAAAGTTATAATAATAATAAATAATAATAATAATAATAATATTTCAGCATGATACAATGTTTGTATAGAAATGGGTGACATTTAGTTGTGCATGTAGAAACCTTCTGGTTATGCAAAACATTTGGATATTTTAACTGTCTGCTAAGAAAGATTCTTCAGCCTTCAATATTCAGTTGTCTGTGTATTTGACTAAAGAGCCTACAGAACAGGTGAGATGTTTCCACAGATAACTGATGCGTTTGTATTACTCATCTACACATTAAACAATGACGGCTCTTATAAAAATAAAAATGCTTTGCTTGAGGGGAGCTTAATCAAGTCATGACAAAGCTTCCCTCAAAAAAATATTGTTATAATAAAGGCTTATGTTCTTTTTCGTGTCTTCACCCACTATGGTTTTAAAACCTACCTTCACTCTTATGTTAATTTTCTGCTAACACTTTTACTTTTAAAGAGATATTTTTTTCAAGAACTGGTAAGATAAATGCATATACAGTAATTATTTATACACACAGATACACACTCTCAAATCAGAGGCCCTTAAAGTTTTGTCAAAAAGATGAACATTTTTGACATTCAGTACAATATTCCATATAGACTCTGATCAACATTAAATCTGTAAGAAATTTTCCAAAAATTGGGATTTCAGATGCTCTGCTGGGTATATACTGAGTACTGTTACTTTGTGTTGTTACTGCTCTCTGCCCACACTAATTACAGTATGTAAGAGACCTACTGGGTACACTATGGCTATCACCATAGTGTATATACAGTTCATTTTATTTTGTGCATCACATCTTCACCCTTTCTGTTAAGTCTGTGTGAGATTTGCCGCCTTTTCCAAAGCTTCCTAAGAATTAGCTTAAATACCTCAGGTATTTCAGAATCAATCATTCGGCCTATTTTTGTGTTAGTGCTGCATCATGTCTTCAGCCTTTCCACTAAGTCTGTGTGAGTTATGCAGCAGAAGTCAGAATTCTGCAGATTTGAACACAATATCTCTTGTGGTGACCAAGACCATCAGGAATAAGAGTGAAATAACTAAAGCTATATTTGAAGAAGCTTGTATACCCAGCTTTGGGGAATATATGCCAGCCGCTGATTCCTTCATAAACGTAAACCCAGCTCAGGTGGAAGGAAACTTTCAAAGCTTCCACAGATGTGGCATCCATAGTGGAAAGTTTCCCAATATCCTCATTACCCTATTGAAGTTTCCAGCTCTGACTGACAGGTTTCATTACTTTTGAACACCCATCGTGTGTGAGTGTAACACAACACTTCTATCAGATGAACCCAACTTAATGTTTACATGAATGCCAAATACAAAACAAATTACTGCCACACGGGAAAGTCACAAAACTGGGCCTGAATGGCATTCTTACTCGCAAGATGTTGACTTTGAGAGTTAGTACCTGTACTGTATTACACTGTACTGTAATTGAAAATATTTGGAGTAAATAGTGATTTAATCTGTAAATGACATATAGCACAACCATACTGATTTTTTATTTAAGTGGGTTCACAACAAGTGATTTGTTCTTTTAGTCATATTATATAATTTATGGTGAACAGTATCTAAATCTAAATTATGTGCATATTTATGACTAGAATATATAAACCCCCAAAAAAGAGAAAATGCCTAATGCACATAAGATTTATGGACAAAATGTTAGATTTTATATTTTGTTGAGTGGATGGAGAAGTTATTACATGTATATAAGAGAGAGTATAAATTACAGTACTTGTCTTTAGCCTTCAATAGCACCATGATTTATTTCCAGTTTGTATTCAAATTCAGCACAATACACTGGACCCCCGGTTTATGATCAGCTCCCAATGCGACCAATTATGTAAGTGTATTTATGTAAGTGCGTTTGTATGTGTATGTTTGGGGGTCTGAAATGGACTAATCTAATTCACAATATTCCTTATGGGAACAAATTCGGTCAGTACTGGCACCTGAACATACTTCTGGAATGAAATAATATCGTAAACCGGGGGTCCACTGTACTCAAATTTATAATCTCGTGCCTTACTAGTACATGACACCTGACCTAACCTAACCCAAGCAATTTTTTCCTCAACTGGCTGAGGTACAATAAAATGATGCAAAGAAAGTTAGTTACTTCAGCTAGGTCTTGATTAGCGTGAATAATAAATCAACTAAGTGGTCTCATTATTTTAGCTCACTATTCAAATCATATGCAATTTTGGTGGACATTTAAAGAGTTTGGGGGAAAACTAGCATTAATTAATTTTGTACTAAATCGAAATTCACACTAATTGTTTCTGTCTGCAGTATATAAAATGTAGTTTACATGTAATAAAATATTGTTAAACACAAGGAAAGCCACTAGCATAGGGTGCATTTCAGGCAGACTAATTGTGCAGCTTTGAGTTACACTTTAGTTGTAATAATCTTGCTAGAATTACCAACAATATGTTAGGTAAAAGGACACAAGTGTAACTAATGTGACATTTTGTTATGGCAAAGTTTTGCTCTTCAGGAACTGTGTCAAGCCGTTACAACTTAACAAAGCTTCTGGAGAGTGAAACGTTGCCACAGTAAAGTGTCACATTAGTTGCACTTGTGTCCTTTTTACCCAACACACACTTCACTTCTTCACCACCAACTGGAAATAATTATGAGAGCTCATTTACTTAAAAATTTCAAGTACTGTTATACTATGCAATGATATTCTTTAAGAATAAGAACAATCGAATTACTAATATACGAGCCTAAGCAAAGACTAACAATGTAAGTAAGAGACATATGAGATGTTCTTTAAAACATTTCTACGTAACCTAAGTTCTCTTATAATATATCTTCCAGTATAAAACATATTAATGTAACAAAAATACTGAAAATTATTTATATTTTTTAAACAGTCCATTTATCCATGGAATATTTTAAAATGATATATTTTTACATAAGGAAATAATAAAAATGGCGGAACAGACAAAAACAAAAGTGTAAGTTAATATAGCTATTACAGGAAGTCCTTTACAAACACATTGGGGACCTTCTGTACTTTGTATAATAATGATATACAGCCTCTCCTCACTTAGCGACGTACTCATTTACTGACATCTCGGACTTACGACAGGCTCTCTGATCAGTACTCATTAGTAAATAATGTATATTAGAGCTGATTTCCTCTATTCTTTTTATTTCAATATACAGTACACTACTGTATATTTAAAAATATATCAGATATGTTATAAATGGTACAAAGGTGACATTAAACCAATATCAAAGATGGTTGACACAAACTCACTACCATTATAGTATGCTCCTCACTTAGTGACGAATTCGTTTAACAACGTGGTCTTCAGAACAGAACTCAGTCATTAAGTGAGGAGAGGCTGTACACAATAATTATATAATATACACAATACAGTAGATTCTCAACGCGTTTGTAAGTCGAGGACTTGCTATACTACACAGCCACTGTAAGTGTCATGACCTCCCAGGAATAATACACAGGTGGTGAAATCTTGTTTCTAGCCAAGTGTTTCACCAAGTCTGGTATTGGCTTCAGTTTAAAACTAGCTCCTGCAGGAGCATAAATTACTGTTTATACATATGCAGTCTAACTTGAAATACAGTAATTTACAAAAAAATACACAGTATTAAAAGCTTCAAGTATGAATAGTTATCTTAGATAATTAAACTAAATATTTTGTACAGCTGACCATCAGATAACATGGTAGTAACATTCCTGAAAACAGCATGTAATCAAAAATGCAAGTAAACTGAACTGAAGAACATTGGTTAAAATAGGGTTATGTTTATTTAGAACACCCACAAAACAAAACAAAATTGTATAAATCTCAAAAATGTGAAAAACAATGATAATAATGCAATTGTTGGTTGATGTGGTGATGTGCTTCAGTCAAAAATCACACATCCCCATCTCTGCTAGTATATGGAGGTGTCTTATTACGTATTTGGTTGTCCCACTTGTTCCAACTGTATGTGGGTTAGAAAAGGTGGGGTTAGAGTGGCTGAGGTGTACACGGAAGAGGTTGAGAGGAAGGGGTTAAAGCGGTTAAGGTGAAGGGGTTCATTGTGCAAGTAGAAGACCAAATGATGGATGGGTAGGGACAGGAGCTGGTGTTGGGAGGTGGAGGATGCTGACAGCAGAAACTGGAAGCAACGAGGTGGTACTCACCTAACTATGTGAATGGCAGTGGCAGGACCGGATTATGGCAAGGGCTTTAGGTGTTGGTTAAGTGAAAAGTGTTGACAGTTACTGTTGTAAGTTTATAATTATTCTTTCTTTCAACGCACTGGCCGTATCCTACCAAGGTGGGGTGGCCCAAGAGGAAAAACGAAAGTTTCTCCTTGTACATTTAGTAATATATACAGGAGAAGGGGTTACTAGCCCTTTGCTCCTGGCATTTTAGTCGCCTCTTACAACACACATAGTTTAAAGAGTAAGAATTCTATTCCACTTCCCCATGGAGAAAGTTTATAATTATAGTATGTTATTACATCACATATATGATGAACTCTTGACTGTTGTCAGTAACTCTTTTTCCTTTTGAAAATAACACTGGAAGCCTCACAGTACCTGCAGCCCAGGGGCCTACAAATTCTTAATCCATCTCTGGGTGGTGGTGTGTATGATGGGTGACTAGGTGGGTGTGAGTGTGTAGTTGTTGGTGTGGGTGGTAATGAGAGTAGCAGTTGGCTAAATAACTGTGTGTGTGGATGGCTTGTTAGGGTGTATGGATCATGAAACCATGGGTTAGGTGTGGGCATGGAGCTATATGAGTGGAGCTGTAAGGGTGTGTGAGTGAAAGGTGTGGCTGGAGGCCATGTCAGCTTGAAGCTATGGATGAGTAGTGTGGGTGAGTGGTGCTATTGTTGGTGGATGATGAGTAACCAGGTGGGTGAGTGTGCAGCTGGTGGTGTGAGCAGTAATGAGGGTGGTGGGTAACTAAGTGATTAGGTATGTTGACAGGGTGAAAAATCAAGTAAAGTGTGGGTGTCAGGTCATGGGGAAATGGTGTGGGTGTTAGGTTGTGAGGTTAGGCAAGGTGTGATCTTGAGGTAGTGGGGAAATGTAACCATGGAAAAATAGTGTAGGTGTAGGCATGTGGACGTAGGGAAAAACTGTATTGGTGGGTTGTGTGGTGGAGGCTGCTGGTTGGGATGGTGTGGGTGAAGGCATGGGTGCATAGGGGAGGTGTGTGGGTGGGAGTATATACATTTGCCAATCTTTTCAGGAGGTCACAGCCTAAGTTACTTATTACACAAGCTGGTATCTTTGCCTCATTTTCTAATTTTGTGAAATGATACCTTATACAAGGCCATAGGCTCATGCCATTTCCATCACCTGTGCACCACCCTCAGCTTATCTAATACAGTATCTCAATTTTCTTTGAGACACCAAGACTTTCATGATTATGTGTCTTCTTTGTAGTCACAGGGTCTTTCTCATTCCTCTTGGTGACATGGTTACTATCCAGAGGCAAGATGGGATGATGAAGAGATCAAACATTGATTCACTAACACAGACCGAGTATGATACAGTGGAACCTCAAATATCGAACTTTCTTTGGTCCAGAAGGCTGTTCGAGTGCCTTTACCGAATGAATTTATTCCCATGAGGAATAATGTAAATTAGGTTAGTCCATTTCAGACCCTCTAAAATACACTTATAAAATCACTTACAAAAATACACTTACATAATTGGTTGTGTTGGGAGCAGTTCGATTTTTGAGGTTCCACTGTACATGTATAAACAAAGCACTGGGTGAGAGAGGTTGTGTGTACATTACGTAGGCCTCCCCTCTAAGAAAATGGACTCGCCCTGAGGCTCACTGTGAGATGGAGGGGAAAGAACACAGAATACGCCACATTTCCCACAATGTAAACTGATTTTTCCGGTGCATGAACCAAAAACATACCGCAATTTTGCAAACATGTTATAGGGAAAACAGGTTAGTAGACAGCATGTTATCTGACAGTCTACTGTACATAGATTACTGTACATAAATTATGTTTTTATGTAATAGTGTATACAGCACTTAACTAATTATTTGCATCAACATTCTGCTTAGCTGAAGGAATCGATCTGAATCCTACAGTATTATATAAAAAATATATAAATATTTTATACTGGATCATACATTTGCCAGGCTTATCATCCCTACATCTCCTAGCTACATGCAAGTCAATAAAAATATGTAAAATATTATATGTACATACTAGAAAACAAATTATGTAAGACACACTTTAGAATATAGTAATATAAGTTTGAGCAGTACCAGCATTCAAAGAGCATCACGGATTCTTAGAAACTTGTGAACAGCCCTCTCATAAAAAATAAATGATAATACGATTCAGTAATGAACAATAATGATAATGGTTAAGCACAAGAAAAAAAGATTACACAGCAAGATATGAAATATAGAAGTTTAAAACATACAATAAATACACTAACCTTTACCATATCATAGTTAAAGATAAAAGAAACACTAACTTACTTCATATTATAGGGAACAAAAAGGCACAATACCGTGGCTGGAACAATACACAAATAACCTGCACGTAGGAGGGGCTTACCACAACATTATGGTCCGACTTGGATTATTTACGAAGCTCCTCTCTCCTCTGGGTGGGTTATTTATGTATTGTTTCATATTATAGCTTAAGCAAAGAAACACATTAATTGGTTCCATGTTACATTTATAAAAAAAAAGAAAAACATTAACCTAGTCATGGAGCGGACCGCAGGAGCGTTGACTCCCTGAAGCCCTCTCCAGGTATTTCATAGTTGAAACACAAATAACAAACTAACCAGTTCCATATTATACGGTGGGATTATATTTGAGAAATGCAGTCTAACTCAGTGTTGTGAAATGATTCCAAGAAATTGTTTAACATAGGAATTACAAGATAATTCTCCTACTTAATCTGGTCAACAACTTGGCTAGCTAGCCAAGTGGTTAACACACTGGCCTGTGGGTTTTAGAACCCATTTGCCATGGGTTCGAATCCCACTCGTTCCATGATTCATTTGCAACTGTGTTATTATGATTTTGCGAATCATGGCAAATTCTTTTTGCATTATGGCAAATTTGTTCAGTATTATGGCAAATTCTTTCTGTATTATAAGACACGGTGCCACCCTCCCGTACAGTTTTTAAGATCATCTACTGAAAAATGTGATATATACTCTATACTTATTAATTTTTAAAACACATTTTTGTAGTATTTGTATTGTACACATTTGACTTTAGAGACCTTAGGTCTATGGAAATTCCTGAAATATGTTTTCTTTTAAGTCTCTAGACCTGACAGACACGAATTATCTAAGTCAGACTGCATTATGATTATAAGAAAATATGGGTAATAAGGAAAAATAAAATATAAGGCTAAATATAAATAATACGGTGGGTAAACACACACACACACACACACACACACACACACACACACACACACACACACACACACACACACACACACACACACACACATGCACACCACACACACACACACACACACACACACACACACACACACACACACACACACACACACACACACACACACACACACACACACACACACACACATACTCTACACACACTCTACACACACTCTACACACACACTACACACACACACCACACACACTCTACACACACTCTACACACACACTACACACACACACCACACACACTCTACACACACTCTACACATACTCAACACACACTCTACACACACTCTACACACACACTACACACACACACACCACACACACCCCAGTGCCAGGAGCTGTGACTCGACCCCTGCAACCACAATTAGGTGAGTACATGCACATGCATACGCACGTGCGCACACACACACATTGATCATTTAAAAAGATGAAAACTTAGCCAATCACATTCAGTGGTACAGTACTGCGAGTTTCTCTCTCGCAAAAGTTACATAAAGAATACAGTAATGTAATACAATAATTCATAATATAAACATCTCAAACAATTATAGAAATATAATACAATATTACACAGTACTGTAGCCTCAGTCAGATTCTTATATATTTCATAATTTTTAGAGAACCATTGAATTTTGAGAATAGAGAGAGAGAAGTCTAAGCATAAGCTTATTTAGTATCAAGTTGTACTTATTAAGAAAGAGTTACAGTAGGCATACCTCGCTTTAAAGCGCTTCATTTTAGAGTGTTTGGCTAATACAGTGCTTTTCAATTACGTATCATGTTTATTAATATTGGCACTTGCCTTACTCTTAACCCTTAAACGGTCCAAACAAATCAACGTTCAAATTCGTAGCTACAAAAGTAGATCTACTTTTTTTTAAAAATAAAATGTAGATAAAAGTTTTTTACACATTTTCAAACGTAAAACAAAAAAGATCTACATTTTTTTACATACTTTCAGATGTTGAAAAAACGTATATATACGTTTGGACCGTTTAAGGGTTAAGATGGGTTGCAGCGGTGATGCGCACATCAGCAGACTACAAGCCAAATCCAGCATAGTTTTCTAGGTCTAGCGCTATTGCTCGTTTAATTAACTCAACCGAGCAGACCAATACAGTGGACCCCCGCTTAACGATCACCTCCAAATGCGACCAGTTATGTAAGTGTATTTATGTAAGTGCGTTTGTACGTGTATGTTTGGGGGTCTGAAATGGACTAATCTACTTCACAATATTCCTTATGGGAACAAATTCGGTCAGTACTGGCACCTGAACATACTTCTGGAATGAAAAAAGTTCGTTAACCGGGGGTCCACTGTATATTTATTGGCCTGCCTGAGGAGGCCAATAAATAGTGGCCTGCTCAATAAAAGGTTAACCTTCTACCATTTAATCCTTAAACTGTCCAAACGTAGATCTACGTTTTTTCAACATTTGAAAGTACGTGAAAAAATGTTGATTTTTTTTTTCATTTGAAAACGTGTAAAAAAACTTGATCTACTTTTTTTTTTGTGTTATATTTGAAAATACGTAAAAAAAAAAGAAGATCTACTTTTGGAGCACTACGCATGTGAACGTAAATCTGTTTGGACAGTTTAAGGGTTAATAAATAATTGGGTTCTCCAGAACCTAAGTGATGTATTAGCGAGATATGCCTGTAAGTAGAATTCCCTATTACGTAAATTAAAATCAAATCACAGGGTTAAGAACCTTTATATTATATTAAATTTAGCCTAACACTTATCATAACACACAAATGAAAGGTTCGGAGGTTCACATTTCCGTAATCACGCTTTAAGTGTTCCATTAACCTATATAAAGAAATACACAACTTTCAAAGATTAAAGCAACTAGATTTATAAAAATATATTATCTATGTATATCATGTTACCTTTATAAAAGTACATAAAAAACAGGGTAATGCATGGAAAATCTTCCTCAAACGTTTCTTGTTGAAAGACCCACATTGCTCCAACACATTTTTGTGAGAATAATAATAATAATAATAATAATAATAATAACAATAATAATTAATAATACAATATAATAATAATAATAATAATAATAATTCTTAAACATTTGGCCTAGCCAGTTTTATAGCTTCGTGCTGCAAAATAATAGCCACTAGCTCGGAACAATTTTTGAAATGTTCTCATTGTTGGCAGACAGAGGATCGAGCCTCCATCATTTCTTAAGCTGAATGATCCATGTGGGTTCAGCGCCTCATTTTATTTATTTTTCAACTCACTGGCTGTCATCCGCCGAGGCCGGGTGACCCGAAAAAGAAGAAAACTGTCAAGCTTGTTTTCATTTTACATTTAGTAATTGATACAGAAGGGGTTAATAGCCTCGTATAAATAATATGTAAACCCTGGTGGTTGTTAGTGGCAACTGCGGTGGTAGTGATGAGATTGTTTTGTTGTGATTATAACAATAGTAGACCGTCCTATGACCAACAGACTCTGTCCGTTGTGATTGAATCAGTCGACCCCAATGGATTTAATCTTGTAATTTTTGAAGTCTGCTAAATTGAAGTTCGTTAAATCAAGGGGTTTACTGTACCTTTTTTGTATATGTTAGTTCAGATAAGTTGTCCTCAAATAAGTGTACAAGTTGTCCTTTTTTACAATGTAAACTAAGAACATTTAACAGCGCAGTAGGCCTATAAAAAGAAAGAAATAAAGTAACGAGGAAGATACATGAAATACGTACTGAAGCCACCAATTAACTAGTTACCAGGTAAATAAAAATACGGCAGCTTGAACTCTGTATGGATACAAGAGCAAGATACTTAAATTCAGTTACATGAATTTAAGATTAGAATATTTTTCATTCTGACAATGAGTTATGTTTTGAAACCAGTATGTAGAGTTTTGTAATAAAAAGTGAAACAATGGGGTTATGTTTTGAAACCAGTACGTAGAGTTTTGTAATAAAGAATCAGTGGCAATATTTCGATGAAGTGTTTGTGAGTGTAATTTTTCAAAACACTCTTTAAATGCCATTGAAAAGCATCCAAACAACAATAACAGTGAAGATGCTGCAACATGCGATGGTGTATTGTTGCAGTAACGAGTACATCACTAGCAACTTGGTCTTTACGTGGTAATTCACAAAATGCCTTTATTAATATGCCAAGACAAATTACGTCACAAATCACTGGCTCCAAAAAAATTAATTTACTTGATATATTGTCTGTCATGTAGTGCCAGAAGCTATATAGAAAATTCCCACATTACATAACCACTCTAGTATTCTGCATACAGTATTTTAGGCAATTTATGTCACATACTGGTAACAAAATTCTATAGTACAGGTCCTCCTCGACTTATGATGACTTGACTAATGACATTTTGACTTTACAATGGTGCAAAAGCAATTACTATGGAGGTGAAACTTGAGATAATTACCCAGCACGAAGGTGCCAAGTCTGTAAATTGTATTTATTTATTTACTTTTCGATACTGGTATTAAGTTACTGTACTTATTTGTTTATTTACTTACTCAGTGATAGCATTTATCTACATGTATTTACTTTTTTATTTAGCATATCATATTCATATTTGACTTATGATATTTTCAACTTACAATGGGTTTGTCAGAATCCCATTGTAAGTCGAGGAGCACCTGTGTAGTCCAACATTCACTTATCTACACAAAACCTCATTCACAACACATGTATCTCATTAACACGTAGGAATAAATGTCTGATATTTCTGGGCACACGACACTTCACACTGGGGGGAATAGGGACGGAGACAGCTATGGAACGAGGATCCTCCAATCATATCGCATATTGGCGGAGTGGGTGGCAGGCGGGAAGGGCGGCTCCTTCAAGCACCAACTCCCCTTACTTTCTTGAGTAGCAAAAGCAAATGAGCAGTAGGGAATCTGTTGGGAGGTTAAGCTTGAAGTTAGCTGGTAAAAACAATTTAGAAGAGTGAATTATATGACTGGCAACAAATAAAGCATTCTAGCATGTAAATATTAGTTTCAACATTACATATAAAACAAAGGATTTGCTTTTTATAAAATTATCATTCATTAATAAGTTAAAAATAATAGTTAGCCATAGAACAATCCAGCAATGCTAATGTTAAATTCACTAGAGTGTAGTAAGACAGTCACACTAAGTACATGTATATATGTATAGCAATGGATGCATTTCCGTTTGATGTTAGATGTGCATGTGGGACAATGTACGGTGTATCACCTTAATGCAGCATTAACATACAGACTATATGACACAGAATTTTTAAACAAACTGATCTGAAAGGAAAAGCCATTAATGCAGGATTGCCATGCTTTTGAATACAAGGGAAAAAAATGCCATCAATTATTTAAATGGTTTCTTAGTACAATACTGTACATTCAATTACTGTAATAATAAAAACATACCGGTATGCATGATCTAAAACATGAAAGAACCAACACAAACACCAAAGTGGATAAAAGTATTCAAATGCATACAATGTATTTAAATGTATACAGTATATTTAAATGTATACAACGTAAACTGTGTGTGTGTGTACAAGATATTTTTCACTGCTCAATCGCCCCTTAAGGGTAAAGCTAAAATGTCAGAATCCAGTTCATTTGAAAGAGCACAAGTATAATAATGTATTTTATTATTATTATTATAAATGTTGGTAGCATCTTACTGTGTTTAATTTAACAATTAAACTTTATCATAAGTATGTATATAAATGAAAAACGACTTGTACATAGGGTTCACTACTGTGTCCAAGGTTTTGGGCATCCATGGTAGGCCTTGGAACACATCACCCACAGATATGGGGGGACTACTGTAAGTCATAAATAATTTTATTTCCAGTTGTTATACCTTTCTTTTGTGCCTAACAATTTTTTTTTTTTACGTGTAAACTACGTTACTTGCATACTGCAGAAAAGAAATAAATTATTTGTATTTGTAACTCAACTGTGTTGTCAGGAAGCTGTGAGCTATACAACTGAAGGTAAACTACAAACTGTAATTTACAAGAATGTAGCAAAAAAATGTAAAGAAGTTACTCATATATTTCAATGTCTCAGGGGTAAGAACAGCCATGTACACTAGTATGCTTGGGTAGCACCAAAAATGGGTTGGGCAAATATTTCTGTTAGTGGGTTTGGGTTTGAGAAGGACCTGCCTAGTATAAGCCAGTAGGCCTGGTGTTGTGTTCCTACCTATGTTCTTATGTACCTACTCTGCATACCCAAATTTCCACCATGAGTAGTGATGAGGACAAGCACAAGAGACAGTAGCGATATCATCGCTGTCATGACTTCATTTCCAACTGTTCAATCGAAGTCTAGAGAAATGGAAGATGAGCAAATGAAAAGGTCAATATAACTGCCCTTTTAATCACTACATATTTATTCATGGGACCCATTTTTATGTATAAATCATTTTCACAGGCTAAGAGCTATTATCCTATCACAACTTAGCCCTGTCTAAGGTATACTACCTTCAAAATAGGATGCAACCCACAAAAGTCGACTAACACCCAGGTACCTACTTACTGCTAGGTAAACGGGGGCAGCACGTGTAAGGAAACACGCCCAACATTTCCATTAATGTTGGTGGTTGAACCACGGACACTCAATATGTTAGCCAAGTGTGCTACCAACTGAGCCAGGAAAATTCATAATTGTTCAGTGGTCTTGCAGAATTTAGTAAAGAAGCCAAGCATTCAGTAGCAGTCTGGGTGTCACATATCAAGATGCAGGCCATATTTGGTTCCAAACAAGCAATGTATGGCACTCTTAAGGAGATCCATGCTTCACTCACATTATTTCAATTTGTCACTCATGTACACTTTCATATATCGAAGTCCTGCAACCTGACAACTAAATCTTCAATTACATTATGTTATCCCTGGATATAGCTAAACAGCTAGTCTTTAGAATAGCTGCTGGTGCTGCTATTCTAAATACTCATGTCAGTTACCCTTCAGGTCAGCCATGCTAACCCAGGTACAGCAAAAAGTGCTGCAAAGTGAAAAATAGCATTTCTTCACTTTGAAATACAGTGGACCCCCGGTTAACGATATTTTTTCACTCCAGAAGTATGTTCAGGTGCCAGTACTGACCGAATTTGTTCCCATAAGGAATATTGTGAAGTAGATTAGTCCATTTCAGACCCCCAAACATACACGTACAAACGCACTTACATAAATACACTTACATAATTGGTCGCATTCAGAGGTAATCGTTATGCGGGGGTCCACTGTACATACATATAAAAGCCTGATAACACATTTACACAATCATATATCAAGTAAGCAATAAAGTTAGGCCTAAAAAATGCATATACAGTACACACTTTACTTAAAATATTTTCATCCTTAGCTAATAGTGAGTGGTGAATATATTTATTGTAAGAAGTCTGAATAACTCCATTGGAAAGTAGAACAGAATTTTTTCTCCATAAGCCATGCATGTTGTCAGAGGCGACTAGAATGCCAGGAGCAAGGGGCTAGTAACCCATTCTCATATATAAATTACTGAATTTAAAAAAAAACTTTTGTTTTGCTTATTAGGTCACCCTGCCTTGGTGGGATATGGCCAGTTTGTTACAAAAATAAGTGAAGAACGGGCATAACTGAAAAATGCTGCATTAGTGAAAATGCTGTAAACCGAGGTGCTGTAAAGCGGGGCCTGCTTGCATATTCTCCTTCACAGTATTATGTCTTCTCAGGCTAGTAATTTTACAGCTGTTGTTGATGCTGGTGATTGCTACCTTGCTGAGAGATAACCACTGTCTTTGAAAGATAACAGAAGCATTGAATGTTTGTATATGATCATTTGGTGCCTGTGTGATGGGGTCATATTTTAAAGGGAGAACTCTTCAAAAATACTAAAGCTTCAGTTCCATTTTTTAAGTTAGTAAGAACCCCAATGGAAATAAGTAACTGACTTTTTGGGGGTTATCTTAGTTAATATACACTATGTATAATAACTGTACATATGTAGTAGGCAGGGAACAAATAAGGTACCATAGTTCCTTAGAGAAACTGTTCCCTTATGTATCCTTAGTTTGCTAAGTAAATTTACATTCAGTAAACAACCGAAGTGTATACATACACTGCACCGTGAATACACAATCTGAGAGAAGACGATGCATTTATCGCTTATGAATACCTTTTATTGAATTATTTTTAAATGTTTTTTAAATACAACTTTTTCTTTAATATTTATCAGTCTGAAAAATGACTCGATCTGACACACTAGAAGTCCTGAGATCTTACAGACAGTGTTCTAATTGAAGAGGTGCACCAGATGCACTGTCTAGAACATTGTATGAGCTGCACATGCTGAAACATTTGAGAAATCTCTCTCCTCTGGGAGCCAGAGATGCAGCATTGCAAGACTGTGTCGGGACATCTGTCCTGGCCAATATTATACATACAAGTCCCAAGATTATGCAATATTTAGCACTATATTAAACTACTGTATCTCATTCAGCAATGTTATTACAGCCCTTAAAAGAACCTAATGATGTATATTCCAGTATACGTATTCCATACAGGAGGAATAATAAGCACAGTAATACATCAGGAACAACTACATGGTTCTCAGTTCATATACTGTGTACTAAATGAGTAAAAATTAATTCACAACAAATATCTTTAAAGAATTTTTCATAATAATTTTTAAAGGAAATTTCTCTTGAAAATGGTACGTACTCATGACAAAGTACAGCCTCTCTTCACTTAGTGACGTACTCGTTTACCAACGCCTCGGACTTACGCTGGGCTCTCTGATCAGTATGCATACCTAAATAATGTATATTAGAGCCGATTTCCTCTATTCTGTGTATTACAATATACAGTATACTGATGTATAAACAATGAAAAATATACTAGAAATGTTATAAATGGCGCAAAGGTGACATTAAAACAATATCAAAGATGGTTGACACAAATCCACTACCATTACAGTATGCTCCTCACTTAGCAACGAATTCATTTACTGATGTGGTCTCAGAAACAGAACTCTGTCATTAAGTGAGGAGACACTGTACTTCATAGTGATAAAAAAGTTATGAGGTATCTAAAATACCACATACGATTTTTGAAAAGTTGATAAAGGATATATGCAAGACTTTCAAATCTATATCAACAAATAAATATGATGGGAGATATCAGCTATATTTAATTTATAAGGACAAATATCGCACAGCAACCTAGCGTCATGTTATGCAGAGATCAACACCAGGTGTAATGATCATACAAGACAGTATTACCGTACTGGTGTTCTATTTCAATTATACATAAAATGAATCACTTATTGCCACCACACCTTTAACCCTTAAACTGTCCAAATGTATATCTACGTTCATGTGGGCAGTGCTCTGACCTTTATTTTCTCCATTTGAAAGCAAGTTAAAAAAACGCGTAGATCTACATTCGGAGCGCTACGCACATCAACATAGAGCTATGTCTGGACAGTTTAAGGGTTAATGTCACCATCAACATTATTTTTAGCTAAATGTGATTATTTTATGTATTTGAAAAAATGAGCCCTCGCTTTGTGTTTTTTGTTTCTACTATAATAAATATAGATAATACAAACCTGTTTCTGGTTAACGGTATACTACACCAATCCTTCTTATAAATACAGTGGACCCCCGCATAACGATTACCTCCGAATGCGACCAATTATGTAAGTGTATTTATGTAAGTGCGTTTGTACGTGTATGTTTGGGGGTCTGAAATGGACTAATCTACTTCACAATATTCCTTATGGGAACAAATTCGGTCAGTACTGGCACCTGAACATACTTCTGGAGTGAAAAAATATGTTAACCGGGGGTCCACTGTAATGAGGAACACTCCATAAGCAAGACATAGTATACTAAACAATTTTTTTTACACCATCTAATGAAA